GCACCCAAAATGCAGTCATGTGAACATGTGTGTGTATGTATGTGCACTCCAGAACCTCCAGAACCAGATCATAAATACCTTTTGAGGTGTGTGGGGTGTTTCATAACTTTGAATGATTGCTAAGTAACCGGTCATTAAGTGAGGACTACCTATATAATTCCAAAACAAACACTGAGCTCTGAAATAGCAAAGAAACTATGGTTCTCACCAGCAGAAATTGGACAGTGATCAATAGATCTTTACGACTTTGTAATTTCAGACTGAAAGAAGTTAGTTGATTAAAACTAACAGGGCCTGAAGGTGTGAATTATTAGCTGAGACTCATCAGGCAGTATGATGAAGTCTGACTCAGCTGCATGAAGAAGTAAGATAATAAAATCTCCAGTAATTGACTTGGAGGTTCAAAGCAAGTTAACTTTAACATGCAGGGAGACTGCAGAGTTATGGACACTGTTAGTCTAAGGCGGGTGTTGGCAACCTGTGGCTCCGGAGCCACATGCGGCTCTTTCATCCCTCTGCTGTGGCTCCCTGTCACTCTGTCGTGGCAGAGGCATGAAAGAGCTGTAGCCCTGTTGAGGCAGTGGTAATGGCCAGAGCTTTAGTGCGGGAGCGAAGTGCCTCCGGATTTCAGATTCCTACCACCCAACACCAGATCAGGGGTTCCTCCCCCCACCCCGCAGGAAAAGGAGGGGGGAGAGAGAGGGGAAGGAAAAGAGAGAGGGAAGGAAAGAGAGAGAAAGAGATAGATACAGATAGAGAGGGTGGGGGAAAGAGAGAGAGGGAGGGAAAAAGGGGGAAGAGAAAGAGGGAGGGAAAGAAGGAGAAAGAGAGAGAAAGAGAAAGGAGGGAAGAGAGTGGGACGGAAAGAAAGAGAAAGAAAGAGACAGAGATAGAGATAGAGATAGACAGAGAGGGGGGAAGAGAGAGAGGGAGGGAAAGAGAGAAAAAGAGAGACAGAAATGGGAAAGAGACATAGAGAGATAGAGGGGGAGAGAAAGGGGAGAGAGAGATACAGTGGGGAGAGAGGGAGGGGGAGAGAGACACACAGACACAGAGAGAGAGATACATAGAAGAGGAGATAGAGGGAGGGGGTGCAAGAGAGAGACAGAGAGGGAGAGAGATGGATGTCAAAAGGGTTTTGTGGTTCCCAGTGTTTTTAAACAACTGTTCTCTGCCCTATTGACTGGCTGGGTAGGTGTGGCTAGAGAGTCATATGACTGGGTGGGAGTGAGTGATGTTGAGTTGGCCACGCCCACCCAGGTTTTGTGGCTCCCAGTTTTGTTTTGTTTTCTGTGGGAAACGGGTCCAAATGGCTCTTTGAGTGTTTAAGGTTGCAGACCCCTGGTCTAAGGTCTGTTTTAAAATGTGGATAAGCATGTTGACCTGAAGTTGCAGTTACAACCCATCTGGAAATGTCAGGTTGTGAAAAGTTGGTCTAGAAGCCCTTTAGACCACATGATATTCAGCTGTAAATGCAATCCCCATTTCTTCATTGTCCATGTTTCTGTTGATCAAAAATGGTAGGCTATTTTTAAGAGTTTGGAAATTATCCTCTTCTATGATACCACTGGACATTTCTTTGTGGAGTTTGTCCTGCCAAACAGTGCACTTTCACTCCATCTCCATCTTTTCAATCCATCCAGTGGATTGCATGAAGTGTTCACACAATTCAAAAGTCTGGTGGAACTTCCATTCAAGCCCCACTTGATAATTTATATTCCATGACATCTAATTATTCTTAGAAATCACCTATGCCAGTTCCTGATATAATACTTGATGTCAGGATGGTGTTTTTTTTTAAATCAAGTTTTATTAGTTTTTTTCCCCCCTAATGCCCACCCACATATTTTATGAAACAGAGTATTGACCATATCATATCATATATACAACTTGTCATATCCAAATATATTTTACTTAAGTTACAATTTCTGCCAAAGTGTTCTTTTTCCGTATTTTTTAATAAAATCTTAATATTTCTGTTCTTGTTTGTATAAACAGTATCTTCTTTCACTCTCAAATTCTATTTTCTCCATTTTTAATCCGATATATTCTCTTTTTATTTTTAATAATTCATTCTTTATCCTAATATATTTAAAAATTTTCGGGGATGCCTTTCTTCCATTTCATCTTTTTTGTTTTACAGCAATCTTTCTTCTCTTTCTCTTCCTCTCTCTCTCCCTTCTTTTATCCTTCCTATCTTCTTCTTCCCTCCTCTCCTGCTCCTTCTCTACTTCTCCTTCCTTTCTCCCTCTCCTCCTTTCTTCCCCACTATCTAACCTTCCCTCCTACTCTTATTTCCCTTCCTTTCTTCCTCTCCTCTTCCCTTTCTTCTATTCCTCTCTCTCCTTCTCCCTTCCTTCGATCTCCCTACTCCTTCTTCCATCTCTATTGCTGTATTCATTTTCAGTTCAGTGGGGTTTTTTTCTATGGTGTCCAGGCATCCCTGATTTTCTCTCCATTTAAGGATGGTGTTTTTGTGGGTCTGTATTTGTATGTGCCATTCCATTGACCTTTGTTGAGTGACTCCAAGTTCTGCTATTATGGAGAAGGAGGAAAAAAATACCTTCTTTGATGGAATAGAATAGGAGAAATGCTAGTTTTCTGTAACAGTTGGCAGCCTTCTGTCTACTCTTCATAGAGTCATAAAGTTGGAATGCATGTTGGAAGTCAACTGGTTGAACAGCCTGCTTAGTGCAGGATCTGTTGGATTAGAGCAGTGTTTCTCAACCTTGGTAGCTTGAAGATGGGTGGACTTCAACTCCTAGAATCCCCCATTCTGGGAGTTGAAGTCCATCCATCTTCAAGCTTCCAAGGTTGAGAAACACTGGATTAGAGCATCTGATAGTTAACCATCCAACCACTGATTGAAGATTTCTTTGGAAAGGGAAGTTTCCGCTGCAAGTTCCTCCTCCTGATGTCTAATTTGAATTTCCTTCCTTGTAGTTTTAACCCACTGAGTCTAACCATGCTCTCTAAGGGTGAGAGAGAGTAAGTCTATTCCCTCTTCTGACAACCCTCTAGATACCCTACCATCTTTTTAAAACTGGAACTTTGGTTGAACAGATTCTTGCTTCATAGTTCAAAAAACCAGAAGTGGCATTGTTAGCATGTTTCTTCCTGAGGGTGGGGCATGATCTTAAAAGGGTGATTCCTTGGAGAAACTTTTCTTTTGATCAGTAGTTAGGCAGTGAGACTTTCTCCTGAAATCTGCATGTGGCGAGTAGCTCAGTCATTTCCCCAAGACTGTGTGTAAGTAAGATAGTATTGGTGAGCAAACGTTGAGATAGGAAATGAGAACAAGAATTGGATCCAGATGGAAGTTATGCTAAAACGGTAGCCATTTCTTCATCAGAGAAGAAGGAAAACTCATTTGAATCTAGACTTAAACTAGCTTTATACACACAGGTTTTCTCCCTGGGAAAATTTACACGATACTTTCTTGCTCATGTCTGATCTAGAACCATCAGAAGCCTTTGACATTTTACAGGCTTATGTACAGTAACTGCAGGTGGGGCGGATGTCAGAACTTCAAAAGCAGGTTGTAAGTCCCATTTTCCGAGGCCATCATAACTTTGAACAGTCACTAAGTGACGGTTGAGGACTACTGGTATTAGTTTGTAATTGACTTTAAGAACTGGAAGTGGGTATGGATTAGTTTAATACAGGGTGGATTTGATTTAAATCGAGTTGATTTAAATCACAATTTAAATCATGATTTAAATCACTAGTAAAAAGGCTTAAATCAACTCAATTTAAATCATAATTTTTAAAGAGCAACTGATCTCTGCTACTCCTTTGACCCACTGTTGACTCACCAATAGTTCCAGTGTTGCAGAATATACAGCCTCATGCTACATAACTAAGCTCCATTTCATGCTGAATAAACTAAATTATTTATGTATCTTAAATAGAAAACTATCTTACGATAGATTTTTACCCCAAGTTTTTTATTAAAATAAATTCGATAAAAATAAAAAAAAATCCGATTTAAATAAAAAAAATCTGATTTTTTTGATTTTTTTAAAAAAATCATTCATTTTTATCCACCCTGGTTTAATATTTCTTTTTTTATTATTATTTTTTGGAAGAAAATTGCTAAATACATAAAAGTAAGTTCTACTTTACCTGATTTGGAACTGGAGAAATAGCTTTCTTCACCGAATACCTTATGAAACTAGGATTCATCTGCAACAGACACTAAAGCCAGTGTAGGGGTTATGGAGATTATAGTTATGGAGTCAGCCATGGAATCTAACTAGATGACTTGGGCTGAGTAGATGACTCAGTCAATCTACTCAAACCTGTCACGCGGGGTTGTTGTGAGAATAAAATGAAAGGAAGTTTCTTCATACCTTGCCTTGAGCTCCTGCAGTGAAAGCAACAAATACATCTAATCAATCAATCTAACAAATCAATCAATCTTAACAAATCAATCAATCAATTAATCAATCACACACAGTCTCAGCTCAAACTATCCCACACAATTGTGGTATGGGTGAAATGAAAGAAGTACTCCAGGTAGGCCATTTTCAGCTCCTGAAGAAAAAGGAAAATATAAATTTAACAGTGTATCTAGCCTAAACTGTAATGAAAATTTAGTACTAATATGTTTCTATGATTTTCCTTGTCTCTGAAGCCTAATTTTCTATGGCAAAGATACCAGAATATCCAGCACAACAATAAAAACAAACTCAATCACAAGCAGAACAAGAGTAAGAAATCTACAGCGGCAATAAAAACAGATGTCCCTTTGTGTATAAACACACAATTCAGGGGTCCATAAAAAAAAAGAAAGAAAAGCCTGCTGCCAGAAGAGATTATTCAGGAGGTAGAGCCTCCATCTATGCTGAAGACTGATATTCGGTCAAAAGTGGAGCAGCCAGCTGGTAAGCGGCTGGATTGATTCAAGGGAGCTAATACTGCATTCCTACCAGTCCTTAATGCTACATTCTGTTCTTTTTGCTCCTTCCTACTAATCTTCCTTTTCTTCTGATTTGCAGGCTCATCCAGGTCAGCACTATGACTGATGGGGACTATGACTATTTGATCAAACTCCTGGCCCTCGGAGATTCTGGGGTTGGAAAGACCACTTTGCTGTATAGGTACACAGATAACAAGTTCAACCCAAAGTTCATCACGACAGTAGGCATCGACTTTCGAGAAAAGCGTGTGGTGAGTTTCTTCTTTGTGTGTGTGTGTGTGTGTGTGTGAGGGAGGGAGGGAGGAGGGGGAGGCAGAAAAGTCTTCCTGAAGTTTCCACTCTCTCAAAAGAAATATTTTCAACATCTCAGCGGGACAATATCCGTTTCCTTGTGTGGGTTTTGCCCCGCATTTTGTAGCCTTCACCTGAATTCGCTTAGTCCAAAATGGCATTTGTATATTGTTTCATTTCTTCCCAGTATATAGGTCATCCATAATTTACAACTGTAATTGAGCCTGACAATTAGGTTGTGACAGTCAGCAGATTTCCATTTGACCGGAATTGTTTTGATGACCCCCTTTTTTTTTTGCAGTGGTTATTAAACGAACCCAGTGGTCCTTAAGTAAACCCATTGTTCACTGTGGAAGAGTTTTGCCCAGAAATCAGAAGTAAATACCAGTTTCTGGCAAAAGCATTGTCAATCACGATCATGTGACTGCGGGGCACTGCACACAGCCATAATTGCAAATTGTTTGCTGAACATCCTAGAAGAGAAAGAGTAGAGTAGAGTAGAGTAGAGTAGAGTAGAGTAGAGTAGAGTAGAGTAGAGTAGAGTAGAGTAGAGTAGAGTAGAGTAGAGTAGAACAGAACAGAACAGAACAGAACAGAACCTTGGAAGTCTTCTAGTCCTAAATGTGTCATGTGACCATGAAGGAGGACAATGTCAGAACTTCAAAACTGGATCACAGGATCCTTTTTGGGGAAAAGCTTTGCGCAGTAGCAGTATCTTAGGTTTACTGATGAGGTTTATCCGAGGCACGATTATTGCTAATTGAAATATAAAGAACTTATATTTCACCCAAAATATCTTTTTGAACATAAGTCAAGAGACGACCTATAAATCAGCCTTTCTCATTAAGTTTTGATTTCTATGCTTTCAAGGCTGTTTACCCTGCAGTCTCTGAAGATAATCTAGAAGCCTCAGAGATAGTCTAAGGTTCTTTTTCTTTCTTTTTTTTTTCAGATTTGCCATATTACCATAGAGATCAATGTTTCCAGTGTTATTATTATTTATATTTCTGATTTGCTGAGTAACTTATTTTGAGGTAATTTGCCTCCTTTTGGCAGCAGGGATTTTAAAACCACAGGAGCTCATATTGTCCTATGGCACGGGCTTCTTTGTGTTACTTGCTGTTTGCTTAGTTCTTAAGCATGTTTTGCAAATCAAAGCTGAAAAATGTTTTTAGGATTTCCAGAATCTCTAGATTGGTATACGAACATTTGTAAAAACTAGATGAGAACAGTGAGGATATATTTTTTTTGAGGGGGTGTTATAGTTAAAAGGTTGTGAGTGTGTATATGTCTGTGCATGCGCACGCCCATGGGTGTGTGTATCAAAACGATATTTCCCTCCTTGGTTTATTCAGTCTAGCTCATGTCACAGCCATATGGTATCCCTTGCTGGGATTTAGATTTTTCATAGACACACACAGGAGAAACTGCTATTCCTGGAAGCCTCCATGTGTTGTGTTTGCCGCTATTCAACTGTTGTATTTTAACTCATTTAACTCAAAGCGTAAGTGGATAAAGGAAACAACCTTAGACTGGTTTTCTCTTAGAGAAGATCCACTGACAAAGTGCTGTGAGACTGCAACATAAATGTTGTTTTGACACACACACAAAATGAGTTATCGCTTTCAAAAGGAAATTTTAAAAAAATGATCCGAAATGCAATTTTGCCTACTTGCTTGCTTAATGTTATTACAGGACTCAGATCCAGATAATTCTGTTTGTGTGTGTACACACACACACACACACACACACACACACACACACCTGTTAAGCTTATTCTACTTCGCTATCAACAGTGCATAGATTCTAACAGGTTACAAATTAAACTTTGCATTAGCAAGAGTGATTTTGAGAGCTTGGGCTACCAAAAGAAGCTGTCCCTAGAGAGAATGAAGCTTTGTTTCTAAAATGCATTTTCCTCAAACAGATATTATTGAATTAGAATTAGAATAATAGAGTTGGAAGGGACCTTGAAGGTCTTCTAGTCCAATCCCCTGCCCAGGCAGGAAACCCTACACCACTTCAGACAAATGGTTATCCAACATCTTCTTAAAAATTTCCAGTGTTGGAGCATTCACAACTTCTGGAGGCAAGTTGTTCCATTGATTTATTGTTCTAACTGTCAGGAAATTTCTCCTTAGTTCTAAGTTGCTTCTCTCCTTGATTAGTTTCCACCCATTGCTTCTTGTTCTACCCTCAGATATTATTATATTTGTTTTCTTTTACACATTTATACAATAATATAATATTATTATTATAATATAATTATTATTATTATACAATAATAATAATTTATACATTTATACAATAATAATAATTATGATTATGGTTTGTAATCAGGACAAACTTATATATATATATATATATATATATACACATATATACACATGCAAGTCTTAGCGTATTCGTGTCTTTTCCCGTGTAAGATTGAGAGTATCTTGGCGACGTTTCGACGAGGTCCCACTCGTCATCTTCAGGCTGGTGTCTTCGGCTTCGTGCTTGTGCGAGCAAAGCGTGATTGGAGATGCCGTCTCTCTATAAATACTGGTGGGGAGGTGTGGAGTGCTTGCTTTGTTGTTGTAAGCGGGTTGGTTGGCTGTGTTGTTACATCTTGATTAGTTGATGGAGTTGATGTTTGCAGATTAGTCGGCTGTTGCGTAACATTTTGTAACATGATGTTATGAAACAGCTGACTAATCTGCAAACCTCAGCTTGAAGATGGCGAGTGGGACCTCGTTGAAACGTCGCCAAGATACTCTCAATCTTACACGGGAAAAGACCCGAATAGGCCAAACTTCGGTTATTCGGGTTTTCTCCCGCGTAAAATTGGAAGTATCTTGGCGACGTTTCAACGAAGTCTCATTCGTCATCTTCAGGCTGTTTTCGGCTTCATGCTTCTAGGAGCAATGTGAATAACCAAAGACCCGAATAACCAAAGACCTACATACAAACACTCGTGAAAATCTCAGAAAACATATATATATGCTTATTTACTTATGATCTATGGATGAGAAAATATGTCAGTAAGGCACAATTTGTAAGCTTTGTGGGAACATCACATTTCTTGGGTTTTGTGGATGTAATGTTTCTTTTCTAAATATCAACTATATATTCTGACACCCAAAGCAAACATCTGTGTTGAGGATCCCTTTCTCTTAAATGTTCACCCACCTCCTACTTGAGAAGCCAACTTCTCAACCTGATGCATGCTGAATTCATAAGTTAAAGAGCTTGTGATTTGTGCCACATGTATTAACCTCAAAACACAACCTTTTGAATCCTTCTTGTATATTCATTGCTGGTTTTGATAGGATGGGAACTGCATGTCTTTCTAATTGGCTCAGGGTGATCGAGATTGTTACTCAGGATCTAGTTTCCCACGGAGGACAATACACCTGTTCCTATCCAGTGGCCAGCCAGGAGCCAGTGGATTCTTTAGGATTCAAATTCAAAGCATGGCAAAATGCCCAAAAATATTTTATTAAAAGCATTATTAGAGAAAGATACATTAATCCACATCCCTTCAGCTTGCCAGGAACACCAAGAATGGCAATAATTAGCAATAGAATGAGTCAATCTGCAAGGCTTGCTAAGGAATTTCTTCTAAGCACAAGTGGGAAGGGATGTACACTGCAAAGCTTGTTAAATTAGACAGTTTGCCTCAGCTGGCTAAGTAACGCTTTCTACACAAGTATTTCACAAGCAACACACACACACACACACACACACCAACCATACTACTTTCTTACAAATCTTTTGGTGGTCCCAAACCAATAGAACAGCAATATGTCTCAATAAAAGTGGGTGCTGTATTAATGACTAACAGTTTTATACTGCTTTTAAGTTTAACGTGAGCTATGTATATTTTGCCCAACCCCAAATACTTAAGTGGACAACATAATTTTTAATAATACCTTTCAATGCTATTTTTCGGGCGCCATTTAATCTCTGCATATTTTAAAACATTTAATTGGAATGAAGGGGGAGATGTGTTCTTCTGAAAGCCAGATCCTCTTAGGGGTGTCAAACGGGCAGCCCATGGGCCAAATGCGTCACGCGCAAGTCACGCGCCTCCCCCCCCCAGTTCCATGAAGAAGAAAAAAAACATCGCAAAACATCACATGACAGCAACGTGATGCAGCAAGTTTGCCACTCCAGGTGAAATATTGAAGGCCAATTTTTCCCCCAAGTTTCCTTTTACCCAATCTCATGCTAAGCTCTTTGGCCGTGAACACACCTCTCTCCTTCACTTGCTCAGGGCCATCTGCTGCTCCAGTCTTCAGTTTCATGGAGAATCTCAAGTGGAACACACTGCTTATTTCCTTGGACCAAAGACATATTATGTTTCTTCCTGGGTTATCAGGGATGGCTGAGTCACCTTGTTAGTTCAGCATGTTTTGTATACCAAAGAAACATGCTAAATCTTCTGTGTATGTACTGGAGAGTAAATATGCAACAGCTGTGCTGTTTAGAAAGATATTACTTAAGAAAAGCATATAAACAAAGAAATTAGTTTATTGTTAGTTTATTAGTTTATAGTTAATTGGGTAGTCCAGACCCTTTGCAGTTTAGGGCCTAAGCCTTAGGCTGTGTGATAGTGGCTAACTTTTTTGGAGACTCTGAAGTAGTCTTCAGACTTATTTGTAAAAATAATAAAGATGGGATACAAATAAATAAAAGCCAGTATTAAGAATTCCAGTCTGCTGAATTCCAATTTACTGCTTATACAGCCATCTTTCAGCCTCCAAGGGATTGAAAGAGAATAAATGTTGAAATGCCTCCGAAAAGTTATATAGCAATAGCACTTAGACTTATATACCGCTTTACAGTGCTTTAGAGCCCTCTCTCAGCGGTTTACAGAGTCAGCCTACTGCCCCCAACAATTTGGGTCCTCATTTTACCCACCTTGGAAAGATGGAAGGCTGAGTCAATCTTTGAGCCTGGTGAGATTTCAACTGCCAAATTGCAGGCAGCCGGCAGGCAGCAGAAGTAGCCTGCAGTACTGGCCCTAGCCCAGGGGTGAAATGCTCCTGGTTTGGACTGGATTGCCCGATCCGGTAGCGATGGTAGCGGGTGGTTCGGAGAACCGATAGCAAAAATCCCTGCCCCCACCCCATGCCCAGCTGAGCTGCGCAATCATCAGAGGCTATTTTTTTAATTTTTAAAAGCATTTTTTCTACAACCTCTTCAGCTGAAAAAATGCTTTTAAAAGTAAAAAAAAAAGGCTCTGATGATCGCACTGCTCAGTTGGGATTGTCAGAGGCTTTTAAAAGCATTTTTTTTAACAACCTCTTTGGCCGAAGAGGTTGTAGAAAAAAAATGCTTTTAAAAGGCTCTGACGATCCCAGCTGAGTTGCCTAATCGTCGGAGGCTTTTAAAAGCATTTTTTTTTACAACCACTTCAGCCGAAGAGGTTGTAGAAAAAATGGTTTTAAAAGTAAAAAAAAAAAAAAAAAGTTGGCCACCCCCACCCAGTCACATTACCTCCACCACCACCAAGCCACGGCCAGAGAACTGGTAGTAACAAATTTTACATTTCACCACTGTCCTAGCCTTAACCCTAACCACTGCACCATCATGGCTCATATAGACAAGTGAAGAGTCACCATTTCCAATTTAATGTTGTAAACATAAAGTTTAGGAGCCTTGGTAGCACAGTGGTTTAATGTACCCTGTTATTAACATAGCTGCCTGCAATTTCTGCAGGTTCGAATCTTACCAGGCTCAAGGTTAACTCAGCCTTCCATCCTTTCTAAGGTAGGTTAAATGAGGACCCAGTTTGTGGGGGCAAAAAGCTGACTTTGTATAAATATACAAAAGTATGAAGGCTATTGCTTAGCGCATTGTAAGCCGCCCTGAGTCTCCGGAGAAGGGCGGCATATAAATCAAAGTAAAAAAAAAAAAAAGGTGTACAAATTGATTTCACCTTCGGTTGGCTTTAGAGACAGGTGGGTTTTTTTTTTTCTGTAATCTTCTAGGCAACACAGCAGAAGTGGCTTGTCATTGTTTTCTCTTGGGAGGTTTTTTTTTTTATTATTTATCAAGCCTAGCGTACAACGTAGCATTTCTGATGCTGGCTGGGGGATTCTGGGAGTGGAGATCCACAAGTCTTAAAAGTTGCCAAAGTTGGACATCCCTGATCTCCAGACTGGTACTTCCGATATCAATATTGTCATTCTTACTGTGTGCACTCCTTCAATAAATGCAGGGCTGCCTGCCAAAATCAACTGTGGAATTAAATCCATAAAAGGATCATACTTGCGGGACCGCCTACTACCACCAATAGCCTCCCACCGGCCGGTACGCTCCCATAGAGAGGGGCTCCTCCGGGTGCCGTCAGCCAAACAATGCCGACTGGCGGCCCCCAGGGGGAGAGCCTTCTCTGTGGGGGCACCTACTATCTGGAACGAGCTCCCCCCGGAGATACGGAGGATCCCGGATCTGCGCACCTTCCGCCGCGCTTTAAAGACCTTACTATTTCACCAGGCGGGCCTGGCCTAATTTTCTCCCTCTTTTATAAAAGATTTTTAATTTTTAAATATCTTTTAGTATTTTATACATTCAATTTTAAATTGGTTTAAAAGTTTGGGGTTTTAAATTTGTCGGGGCCAAAATTATTTAATTTGATTTTATCCTACTTTTAAATTTTGTATGTATGTGTTTTATTGTTTGGCTGTGCACCGCCCTGAGTCCTTCGGGAGTAGGGCGGTATAGAAATAAAATAAAATAAATAAATAAATAAATATGAAGTTTAGCATCTTTTCCTTTCCTGCATTTTCAGTTTGCAAATTATGACTTCACTTTTAAATTAACTTTTAAATAAACACTTGTCAAAATAAACTGCGAAGCTTTATTTGGTATGTTTCAGGTGTACAACAGCCAGGGGTCAAGTGGTTCTTCTGGAAAAGCCTTTAAGGTCCATCTGCAGCTATGGGACACAGCTGGGCAAGAGAGGTAATATGCAAGAGCTTAAAAGTCCAATGCAGAAATGATTGGAAGGGGAAACGAACAACATTTTTTTCTATTAGATTCTGTCATTTGAACTCGGGCAGGATTTCAAGTCAATTTTATTTTTATTTTTTTTGGTTATCATTTTGACATCATATTACTGTTTACAAGGAAGCTTAAGACCTAGTTCTTCTCTTGAATTTTTTGGAATTTTGAATAAAAAGTGATTTGAAGCATTTTGGAACGTCGGATTTCAGGGATACAATTGCTAAAAGTTGCAGGACAGTGGGTAGTGTCTGCAGTTTACACACACACACACACACACACACACACACACACACACACACACACAGCTCCTAGAAGCACGAAGCCGAAAACACCAGCCTGAAGATGACGAATGAGACTTCGTCGAAACATCTTCGTCAAAACGTCACCAAGACACTTCCAATTTTACGCGGGAGAAAACCCGAATAACCAAAGACCTACACACACACGCACACACACACACACACACACACACACACACACACACCGCCTCCGCGGGCCCCATTTTCGGCCTCTGCTGTTTGCTGCAAGGAGGCAAATTGCTGGGAGGCAGAGGCAGATTTTTTTCTTGTGCTAATCAAGATGTGCTGAAAATGAAACTGAAACTGAAAGAGGCTGTTTACTGTTTGCTGCAAGGAAGCAAATTGCTGGGAGGTAGAGGCAGATTTTTTTTCTCTTGTTTTCCTCCCCAAAAAAGATAGGTGAGTCTTATAGTCCGGAGCGTCTTATACTCCGAAAAATACGGTGTGTGTGTGTGTGTGTATATATTCATACATACATACACATACATGTATATATATGTGTGTGTGTGTGTGTATATATACACACATAGACACACACTAACACACAAGTTCTTTGCTTGAAGGTGTGTGAGCGATACACTCAGAAATTCCATGTCCCTGGGTGGGCAGCTGACTAAAACCTCCTGTGGCAGTTTCCTGCCCATCTGTTTGACAGCGAGAGAGAAATTTATAACACAAATCCCCATTGGAATGGAATAGATGATAAGAGAAAATAAAATCATCCCTGGGGCTGCCGTGCAACCTGAAGGAAGATTTGTGCTTGAGCAGTCATTCGGGATAAGGGTCGACTACCCGTGTAAAGAGAATATTAAAGCTTTGCCTTGTCATTTATCTGTTTGCTTGCAGCACTTTTTTTTTTAAAAAAAAGTTCAGCCATGAAATGTTTACCTAATACCCCTTGCTTTCTTTCTTTTCCCTGATAGCTCGTGTTGCATATTGATCCTTTTCACTCCTTTTCTCCTGACAGATTCAGAAGTCTCACCACCGCATTTTTCAGAGATGCCATGGGCTTCTTGCTAATGTTTGATCTCACCAGTCAACAGAGCTTCTTAAATGTCAGAAACTGGATGAGTAAGTGGAAAAAGCAGCTGTCTCTCTTAGCCTTGAGCTCTTTTAGCTTCAGCGGCATTGAACCTACCATCTTTTAATGCGACAGCAGTCCCCATAGAGAGTGGCATTATGTAAGCTATTCCTGACACAATTAAACACTCTGCAACAAAAGGCACGCAGGTACCTTAGAAAAGAGCCATGGTGAGGGTGCAGTACTGCAGGCTACTTCTGCTGACTGCCGGCTGCCTAAAATTTGGCAGTTTGAATCTCACCAGGCTCAAGGATTGACTCAGCTTTCCATCCTTCAGAGGTGGGTAAAATGAGGACCCAAATTGTTGGGGGCAATAGGTTGACACTGTAAACCGCTTAGAGAGGGCTGTAAAGCACTGTGAAGCGGTTTATAAGTCTAAGTGCTATTGCTATTGCTATTAGAAGCAATGCATGCTCCTCTCTGAAGCAAAGCTTGGCAATTTTTAAAATGTGTGAACTTCAGCACCCAGAATTCCCCAACAAGCATACTGGCTGAGGAACTCTGGGAATTGAAGTCCACAAATCTTAAAGTTGCCAAGGTTGGAGACCCCTGCTCTAGAAGTTCCTGGATCATTCTTTGCCTTGGCTACTGGCTGCAAGATACCTTTTATGGAAGCTTTAGGAAACAGGTGGACTTTTACTTTGACCTGACAAAGTTGTTTTTCCACTCTGGCACTGCCTCCTCCTTGAAGCCTCTAGCATCACTACCATGTCATGTTTCTGCAAAATGCAGAAACCTGCCCAAACTACCGGTAGTTTGAATATTAATAAAGAAATGCATGTGAATTGCTTGAAATGTATTAGCTGTATGTGAATAACAGGCAGTCCTGGATTTAACAACCGTAATTGAGCCCAGAATTACAGTCATAAATTGTGGTCATTATCGAGCCACTATGTGACTGCACCCAGTTTTGCAACCTTTTTTTGTGGCGGTTGTTAAGCAAAAGTGACGGTCATTAGGTGAAGGCCATGGTCACTAAAGCAAACCTTTTTTTTTTTATTCAATGAGCGATTGTTTTTTTGCTGGAAACTGGAAGTAAATGCCAGAAACTAGCAAAACCCACCCAAAATTGTGGCCATGTGACTGCCGGATGCTGCAAATGTCTGTAAATGCAAGCTGATTGCCAAATGCCCCAAATGTGATCATGTGACTGGGGGAGGGGCACAGCCAACGGAACTAAAGAACCAGGTCATAAGTTGCTCAGGGGAGGTCCATCATTGCTTCAAACGGTTGCTAAGCAACACCAGTTGTTAATCAAGGACTACCTGCTTCATTCCTGTTACAACTGTGATGCAGAGAAGAAAAACAGTCCTCATTGTCATTTACAGATTTTTATCTATCTTATTTGATTGATTGGATGGCCCAATGTATTCTGGGCAATAAGACATTAACCTTCCTATTTCTATCATAACATTTTTAAATGTAAAAATAGGTAGTGAATTTGGTCATATTTCATCTCTCAACCTTTCCCGGCCGGGTTGAGCAACACAACTGGAAGATACCAGATTAGGAAAGGCTGAGAGAAACTATGATTTCTGCTCCTCCGATTCCAGGGAATATTTCTACACTCCTTACCAAGTTTCTACATTTCTTTCTTTAGGTCAGTTGCAAGCAAATGCTTATTGCGAAAACCCCGACATAGTATTAATTGGAAATAAAGCTGACCTATCAGATCAGAGGGAGGTCAATGAAAGACAAGCAAAAGAACTTGCAGACAAATATGGGTAAGGCAAACAAACATGTTGTCCCCTCAACTAACTCGGGAGGCATTGATGTAGCCATCTGAGTGATGCCAAAGGTGGGATAAGGACACAATAAAATGGCCAAGACATTTGGTTTGAGAGGAAGAAAACCAAGTGTAATCAGGGGTGGGCTGCTGCGGGTTCGCAAGGGTTCGGGAGAACCTCCAGCTAAGATTCTGTGCAGTTTGTAGAACCCCCAAATTCCATTCCTGGCTGGCCCCGACCACCCCGCCCCTCCCAGGAGTCCCCACGCATCCCATTTTGTATACAGGTAAGTACAGGGTGTGCACGGAGGCTTGGGGAGGGCGGAAAATGGGCCTACCGGAAGTTCAGGAAGGCCAGAAACGGGCCCATTTCCGGCGTTCAGAGGGCCTCCTGAGCCTGGGGAGGCCATTTTCGCCCTGGAGGTTTGAGGAAAGCTTCCAGAGCCCAGGGAGGTCAAAAACGTCCCCCCCCACCATGGTTCAGGAGGCCGACTGGTCATGCCCACCATGGCCACGCCCACCCAGCAACTGGGCAGAGAACCCCTTGCTACAATTTTTGAAGCCCACCCCTGAGTGTAATGTTTTTTTTTCCCTGTTGACATCCATGATTCTTAAAGTAATCCCCGTATGGATAAAGTACTGGTGCTAATAAGAATTTCTTTTTGTGAGAAGGGGAACAGGGATGTGTTCAGCAGACTTGAGGGCCTTTCAGAAAGTGACACGATATTCTTAACTGTTGAAGTAAAGTCAACATTTGCTTTTGAGAACCAAAAGCTGCCCTTTGAAGGAAAACCTGTAGGTTATGGTTATAACTGTTCCCTCTTGAAATATCTTACCATACTTCTGATGTTTTCCTGCCGTAGCATCCCATACTTTGAAACAAGTGCAGCGAACGGCCAAAATGTGGACAAAGCTGTGGAGACACTCTTGGACTTAATAATGAAACGAATGGAACAGTGTGTTGACAAGTCTCAGCTCTCTGACACAGCCAATGGTGGAAGTTCAGGAAAACTGGTGTCATCCAAATCTGATGAGAAGAAATGTGCTTGTTGACTTGGCCATTCAGGTTGAAGAAAAGAAAAGGAATGAGAAATCAGAAAGTAACAGAGTGACCAAATGCTAAATTCAACCTGGAACTCTGTGGACCAAATGAGACTGCTGTTGTTGTCTTAAGCAAGCCTGATTTTTTTCCCCCCAATGCTGAGAAATCATGCTTCTGCATTCAAACAGGTGTAAACCATCTTCATAGAAAATCCAGAGCCTCTTTTCTTCTTCATACAATAGGCGAGTAAATACAGGAAAAAATATCTGCTTTGGGGGAGAGGATCATTGAAATGTTAGAGACACCTTTCCAATAAAACAAGGGGTTGTCTTAATTGGCCTAAGCTAAGCCATCCTTTCTCATCTCTTTGCCTTCTATTATGACATAGTGTGTTTGCTAAACAGGTGGTGAAAAAACATCCCAAAGAATATATTGTGTGGCTCACTGTAAACATCTTCATGGTTTTGAATGCCAAAAAGTTAGTTGTTTCATTCAGTTGGTTATTCTCATAAGGCGAGACCTGATTAAAATTGCAATGTAGTCATTAGGTGGCATTGGAGATAGAGGTGGACTGTAGAAAGAAGATGTCCGTACAATATAGTACAGTGTTGGAAAAGATATAAACCACGAGGTTTGCTCAAAGCTGAAAAGTACTATGTGCCTTGAAATATTTGGCCAAGTATTTCATTGGTGACTCTGAGAGTGATATTCCAATGGAATCCCCTTTCATTAAGAGGTAGTACGTATGTATTTATTAAGTTCTATATGGATACAGTTAACATTTCTAATTAGTTCTAATGTTCTAATTAACACATACTTTACATATACACACAGAAGATTATTTTTGCTTTTACTTTACCAGCAGAGCACTTCCCAAACATGAAGCTATGTTCAACGTTGATCTGGAATATTAGCTGTCCAAAGCAAAGTCTTGATTAAATATATAATGCCTTTCTGTTATTTCCATCACTTAAAACGAGAAAGGCAGGAACAGGAAGAAAGACGAGGAAGTTCCAATAATAATTTTGTTACAGTAGAAGTACTGTTAAGTGAAGGATATGTACACTTTAGAGCCAAGCGTGATAGGATGATGGTGGGATGATGATGATGATGATGATGATGATGATGAACCAAATGCAGCTCTTTAAAACAAAAACAGACATTGACTTTCTACTACGCACCATTTCTCTGCGATGCCATTCTGGTTTAAAAGGTCTGCTTTTGCAATTCAGCCGTTCCAAAATGGTCCGCAATCCCCCTGCCACCATTTTCTAAGTTAAAGAGTTCATTTCACCAGGTGTTATCAACCCAAAGCGAAAGAGTTGTTTCTAGTATTTATCACAATGCTCTTCATCAGTCTCTCAGTAATTAAAAATATATTTCTGTTTGCAAAATGTGAGCGCATTTCCCAGAAAGAGAAAGAATGTAGAGGAATATATTCATGCTGATATATCTTAATTTTCATTTTTATTCCAATACTGTGATACCTTCAGTACACTTTTAAATGTTTACTGCTTTTTGTAATCCGTACAACTCATTTTCAGAAATGGGAAATTGCAAAAATCCCAAAGGTGTCTTCACTTTTTGCTGGTGTTAATTGCTCAGCGCTTCTATTGGGAAATACTAATGTTTTTGTCTATGAAATATGGAGCATATTTGCTTGGGTTCAGAATGCTTTGCTTGAAATCAAGGGCTGGGGGGAATACATTTAAGCAGTGTTTTTCAACCTTGGCAACTTTTAAGATATGTGAACTTCAGCACCCAGAATTTCCCAACAAGCATACTGGCTGAGGAATTCTGAGAGTTGAAGTCCACCTGTCTTAAAGTTGCAAGGTTGAGAAACAATGCACTTAACTAAGTGTAAAAGAACAAGAGATTCTTTATGCATTAATACGTATCTTTTTTTTTTCCTATATGGCCCTACACTGTGAGGAATATTTCATCTCTTTTTCCTGCAATTCTGCCATTTTATAACAAAGATCTTTTAGCTTTCCAATGGAAGAAGAGATAACAATATATCCTTAATGTTTCCCAGCTATTAATACCTACTCAGTGTTGTCCATTGCAGTAAACAGGGTTATCTGCTGCAAAATTTGGGCATATGGCTAACCTAGTGAGGAATCTCAGCTGACTTATTGAAAGTTGCCATTCAGAATTTTTCTTACATATAGTTCAACAGTTTTGGATCTTCTGGCATTGTAAATCCGATCTGGAGGGACTCATATATTCCAGTTTTTATTCCTATCTCTCACACTACCATACATATATTTTGTTGTTACTATGTTGGAGTAGCAATTTAAGAACTTGAAGCTTCTCCTAAGGCACAATTATTGTTGGGCGTCATTTGTTGCAATCATATGCTGGGTTATCTACTAGTATGCCTACAAGATCTGCCCATGCCTCTGTCTCAGTGTAATGCCCATGAGTGAATGTTTTATGCATGCATGTTAAACTTCGATATTGTGTAACACAGAATATTCCCTGGCATTAAGTAAGGCCAAATAGCTGTCGGTTTTGTAGCTGTCATTACGCATACCTAAATTCCTGCATGCATAAATTGTAAATGTTTATAGGGAACATTTATGAGCACAATGTTGAATCCACAAGAACACTTTGACTTCCCAGATCGGCATTATATCATCTCATTAATAGCCTTTGAAATTGGCTTGATGCAACTGAAAACTTGCCAAGGTGGCAATACTGGAATCCATCTTGCATTTTCAATATAAACTCAAAATAAATTCCGTATCACATCAACAAATTCTTTCATTATCTTTCTTTTATGGCCCTATTTCATCAAGGAAATCAGAATATATATGACAGATATCAAATATATTGATGTAGGTTATATTGCCGCTGTAGTTCATAATTGGCGCCTTACCAAAATAATCCTACGTATGATGAGTATTTGATTAAAATTCACCGGCAGTTCATTGAGGAATAATTGTAATGACAATATACTATGCTATTTTTTCCATGGTATGAGATTCCCTCTTCTGACTTGGTTTCATGAATATTTGAATCAAAATATTGGATGTGTAATTGTGTATGTATGATTAATAGACCCATGGCTGTTCACTGCTTATATATATACCCTGTTGTCCAAAAGTATCCAGCTGTAATGAGCCAAGTTCTCAAGTGCTTCTATTGTGCCTTTAACCATCCACAAAGCACACTAAGCCAACAATTGTTTTCATAAATCATATGTAATTGTTGAGGAAAGAAACTAGAGAACTGTCAGTTCCATGTAACCATTTTTGCCTGCTGTTATCGACAACCATTGGCATTAATTACAGCAGCTCACACTGCACACCAACTTGATTTCTATGAAAGGATCTTTGTTTGCTTCATTAAAGCCTCTGAGGAGCAAAGTCGTTGCCTGAGGAAATGCACATGATGTCCCTAACAATTACTGTCCATGGGATAAATCAATATATATTTAAGAGAAAGTTGTCCTGCCACTGAAAATATGTTTCTGTACTTGCCCAGAAGCCTTTTAACAAAGTCTTCTACCAAGATTTACACCGGGCTCAAACAAACCATTTAGCTGCTGTTTTGTTATGAAAATCTACCTTTTCCCAATACAGTTAAGTGTAGTCTGGTATTACATGAAGTGACCACTGAAACTATTCAGCCTGGTTGGTTCCTTTCTCCAGTCCAACTGAGGCAGAATTGGACAATGTCCCCCATTGGTCAACTTTCTAGATCTGCTCTTGAAGCTCAAGGTTAGTAATCGGGAGGAGTTTGGCTACCATAGATTAACATGGCTGTCCTCCAACAACATCCTCAAGGCTTGGAAGGAAGTCTCCCATGTTTTCCTCTCCCTAAAATAAATGCTTGATAGCAGCTCTTCTAAAGGTCAAATCCAACATAACCTGAATCACGTGGTTATGGCTGTTACAAAGAGGATTAATAGGGGGAAAGAAAAGTTATCCCATACCGAAGCACCATTACAATCATATTCTCAGAAGGGGTGAAGTTGTGCAGTCTGTCTATGCTGTCAGTTGTTAAATATTACTACAGCCCTCCTCAACTCAGACCATTTAGCGCAGGGATCTCCAACCTTGGCTATTTTAAGACTTGTGGACTTCCACTCCTAGAATTCCTCAGCCAGCGTGGGAGTTGAAGTCCACAAGTCGTAAAGTTGCCAAGCTTGGAGACCTCTGATTTAGCACAAAGTCTTTTATGAGATATTTCTTAAGAAACATGGACACATCATCTTCCTACACTTTCAAAGGCCCTGCTTGAAGCTCTCCTAAACTTGATTCCACCCCAAGGTTTAAATCAAAAAAGCTTCTCGAATCTTAAATCCTCTCTAACTGCCTTCGCTCTACCCCGCAGAGGGATTTTCAGTGTATATAACTATAATTCAAGGTACTTTTATGTATTTCTCACAGATATATTTATTGAAATTGTTCTTTTCAGATTTTGATTCAACACTAAGAGCCTCTTGACTGTTCAGTTGCCTTTCCCCCCCCCCACCCCGGCTTTGTTTTGCTTTTAATGTGCCCTTAAGTTAGATAACTCTGAGCATGTTTTCTGTTGGTCTTTGAGACAGTTCTGTAGAAATTAAAGATTTGCATTCTTTGGACTAAGTGTCTGAATTATCTCTCTTTGGATGGACTGCACTGCCAGCCTAGCAGCACCAGTCATTAACTGTGTTGTATTACTACTACTATACTGTTGCTTTTCAATGATATATAAATATGTATTTATATGTGTGAGCGTGTGTGTGAGTGAATGCACACATATACATACATACAATCAGACTGTATCCATTGGTGTCTGGGTTTTTACAATATGGCTAAGGAATGTAATTCTGTAGTTTCGTTTCTGCACTGTTCTTTTGAGATTAAAAACTATTCATTTTTAAAGCAGTTGTGGATTGTTGTCTTGAAGAGCAAACATGATCTAAGGCAGGGATGGCGAACCTTTTTGGCACCAAGTGCCCAGGGGTGGGATTCTACTGGTAGCTCCGACGATCAGCTGGGAGTGAACTGGTTCGCTCCGATAATTAAATAAATAAATAAATAACTTTATTGTCATTGTATGTGTATACACAGTATACCCATACAACGAAATTCACTTAACACCCAAAGACCAGGTCCAACACACACAACAATTCCCAAACACACTCCCACCCACCACAATTCTCCACCCCTAAACCACCCAAACATCCACACAACAGACCAAGTAATGCTGTCCAACAGCTCACTGATGGTGGCCCTTTAGGTTATTGTTGAGTGCAATTATAGCTCTGGGATAAAAACTATTCAGAAAACGTGTGGTCCGAGTTTTAATTGTTCTGTATCTTCTGCCAGAAGGCCACAGTCCAAAAAGATTGTAAGCAGGATGGGAAGAGTCTCTGAGAATGTTATGCAACTTTCTCAAACAGCGAGATTCAACTGGATCCGCTCGCCCCTGTGTTTTACTTACCTTTATCTTTGCAGCTGATAATTTGGCAGAGCGGATTGCCACGCCTGTTTTAACTCCCTAGCACTAACGCGTTAGGTGATTTTTTGTTGAACTGCACACGTGAAGTGCGCGATCACTGAACCGATTGTTAAACCGGAAGGATCCCACCACTGCAAGTGCCCAAACTGGAACCCGTGCGCACACACCAGAGCACCGGAAACCCAAAGACCAGCTGGCCAGTGTGTGTGCCCACACAGAGTGCTCTGTGTGCCACCTCTGGCACGCGTGCCATTAGGTTCACCATCACGGATCTAAGGTATCCAAGAATAGTGAAAGTGGGCAGACGATACACACAATGTGATTTTTACTTGATTCTGGCTTTGCACATGTGAATTCACATGCTGTACTTTCAGCCATGTAGGAACTCGGCTGTGATGTTTTCAAAAATGGCTGAAGAAACCATGGCTTCAGTGTAGGAACTCAGCTAGACAGAAAAAGGATCACCATAGTTCCATTATTATTTTTGTAAAAAAATGCCAACCTCATGCCTTCCAGGTATGAAGAATACAATTCTTTGAATTACTAGCCACTATGAACCAAAGATTGAGGGCCACTTTAAGAGAGATTACGGGGAGTCCTCGACTTACGACCACAATTGAGCTCAAAATTTATGTTGCTAAGTGAGAAATTTGCTGAGTTTTGCTCCATTTCACGACTTTTCTTGCCACATCTGTTAAATGAACCACTGCAATTGTTAAGTTAGTAACACGGTTGATAAGTGAATCTGGCTTCCCCATTGACTTTGCTTGTCAGGAGGTCGCAAAAGGGGATCACATGATCTTGGGACACAGCAATGGTCGTAAACATGAACCAGTTGCCAAGCATCCAGTTGTAAATCACGTGACCATGGTTGGGATACTGCAATGGTCATAATGGTGAAAAACGGTCATAAGTCACTTTTTTTTCAGTGCCGTTGTAACTTTGAACGGTCACTAAATGAACTGTTGTAAATCGAGGACTACCTGTATACCCAACCTCCACAGGATCTGGGTTTTATTTCATTTATTTATCTTGCTTTTTTGCCATATAACACTGGAACTTTCCGGTTGGTGGCCCGGCGGTGGGGAGGGGCAGGCAGTGGTCGGTTGCTACCGGTTCTCCCCGGTTCGGGAGAGCCGGTAGTGGAAATCTTCATAGGAGAATGAACCAGTTAGCTCTGAATGTAATTTGGGTCCTCCCCCCTGCTATACCTACCTTTATTTCGTTTGGTCAGCTGTAAGGTATGGCAGAGGGGATTGCCATGCCTCAGCTATTTTTTTTCTCAATGCGCTTGCGCGAAGCGATCGCTTTGCAAAGCCCGTATGTGATGTGAACCTGAGGTAAAACTGATTAGAACCCACCACTGGGGGGAGGGGATGATTCAGTGTGAGTGGTAGGCGCATGCGCTGCTCCATTTGCATAAGCAGTGGGCACGTATTAGATTTTCTGATTGCTCAAGTGTAGGGAGCAGGAAAGAGGGGAAAATAAACCCCAAATAGGCACACATTTAAGGCAGAAAGACTAATGTAGCTGCACCCCGAAGGGAATGGCGAGTGCTCTGTGGTGAGCCCTGCCTTGAAAAACATGGTGTTTTTCAGCAAGCGAAGAGGGAAAGTTGAGCTGAAGCAGAGAAGAAAGAAGTTCATTGCATTCCTGACTCATTCCCAAGAATCCAGATAATCAAATCATGGTTACGCTCATTACGCTGACAAGGTTGCCTTCAGCTAAATTCATAGTTTTATCCACAATGTACACCAGCTTACCTTATGGTCTTGTGGCTTAAATAATTGACTGAACATTGTACCAGTTATTTATTTTGTTACAGTGCAAACATGATCCAGCCAGATTGAAGCATAAATCTCGCTGCAGGCCAAGGAACAACCAACCTTGCCTTTCATTACCACACTGGCCACTAGAGAGACCGTCCTTGAGATTTTTAGATGTCGTTCTTATCCTCATAACTACACTCTTGATTTCATGGCTTTTAGATTGTCCATTTCGTCATTACGTTTTGACAAGTCTTGGCAAGCTGCTCTTGAAATACAATCTTAAGCATGGTATAATCATTATAGATCAATAAATACTTTATTCATTTAATTATGGGGAAACTTGCTGTTGCGCTGTCACAGAACAGGGCCTAGCCAAATGTACAATCTGCTTTTATAGCGGTATAACCGAAATATATATTCTTGCTTTCTTGCCTCAGGCATACTGCTTGACAAACCTGCCTTAGAAGAGCTCTATGCAGAACACTTACATTTTACCGATTCTAAATCATGACATAGGGATGGCTTCAGAACTGTCTTCTCTGGGCTTAGATGCACTTCCCAGAGGTGTTTTACTTCCTTCAGAAACATCATTTTACACAACGTTATAATTTATCATTTTACACAACAACTTTATAATTAGTTTGCCAAATTCAAAAACACTGAGGAGGTGATGTGGGTAGGAATGCTGTAAAGAGGTATCTCCGTTCAAGGTTTTCTAAGCCTCACTTTACTCATAATATCTATCTCTCTGTCTCTCTGTCTCTCTGTCTCTCTCTCTCTCTCTGTCTCTCTCTGTCTCTCTCTGTCTCTCTCTCTCTCTCTCTCTCTCTCTCTCTCTCTCTATATATATATATATATATATATATATATGTTTTCTCAGGTTTTCGCGGGTGTTTGTATGTAGGTCTTTGGTTATTCGGGTCTTCTCCCACGTAAAATTGGAAGTGTCTTGGCGACGTTTCAACGAAGTCTCATTCGTCATCTTCAGGCTGGTGTTCTCGGCTTCGTGCTTCCAGGAGCAACCAAGCCCCCACCCAAACAGAACACACCCCCAGCCAATCAGAGCACAGCCAAGCCCCTAACCAATCAGAACACACCTCCACCCAATCAGAACACAGCCAAGTTCCCACCCAATCAGCTCACACCCCCACTAGCAGTTAAAAGGAAGAGACAGCTGCGATCTCACATTGCTCCTGGAAGCACGAAGCCGAGAACACCAGCCTGAAGATGATGAATGAGACTTCGTCGAAACGTCGCCAAGACACTTCCAATTTTACGTGGGAGAAGACCCGAATAACCAAAGACCTACATATATATATATATATATATATATATATATATATATATATATAGTCTGGGGGGAGGGGAGGGTTAGGGAGGGTTAGGGAGGTTGGGAAGTTTGGGGGGGAGGTGGGGGGGGAAAAGGGGTGAAAATGTAATTGTAAAACTTTTGCAATAAAAAAAAAAAAAGAAGGTACATTTTACCGATTCTAAATCATGACATAGGGATGGCTTCAGGACTGTCTTCTCTGTGCTTAGATGCACTTCCCAGAGGTGTTTTACTTCCTTCAGAAACATCATTTTACACAACAACGTTATAATTTATCATTTTACACAACTTCTTTATAATTAGTTTGCCAAATTCAAAAACACTGAGGAGGTGATGTGGGTAGGAATGTTGTAAAGAGGTATCTCCGTTCAAGGTTTTCTAAGCATCACTTTACCCATAATATCTCTATCTCTATCCCCCTCCTTCTCTCTCTCTCTCTCTCTCTCTCTCTCTCTCTCTCTCTCCTCTCTCTCTCTCTCTCTCTCTCTCTCCTCCTCTCTCTCTCTTATATATATATATATATATATATATAGACCGCAGCTGCATCATTAGCCACTTTAAACCCCTCCAATCCATACATGAAGCAGACTGACACCCACCATGAAGAGCTCGCACGGCCACAAACACGAAGCCAACAACAACAACGCAGCTCACCAGCTCAAACCCCCTGCAACTCAGACTAAGCTGAGCACAACCAAGCCCCCACCCAAACAGAAAACACCCCAGCCAATCAGAGCACAGCCAAGCCCCTAACCAATCAGAACACACTCCACCCAATCAGAACACAGCCAAGTTCCCACCCAATCAGCTCACACCCCCACTAGCAGTTAAAAGGAAGAGACAGCTGCGATCTCACATTGCTCCTGGAAGCACGAAGCCGAGAACACCAGCCTGAAGATGACGAATGAGACTTCGTCGAAACGTCGCCAAGACACTTCCAATTTTACGTGGGAGAAGACCCGAATAACCAAAGACCTACATATACATACATATATATATATATTATATATATATATATATATATATATATATATATATATATATATATATATATATATACACACACACATACATACATACATACATACATACATAGATAGATAGATAGATAGAAAAATGGCTGTGTGTGTGTATGTTCCAGCATAACTCTGGAACGCCTTGAGCAATTTCAACCAAACTTGGTACACAGATGACTTACTCTCTGAAAAGAAATACTGTGGGGATAAGACACCTCTAACACCTCTTGGGGTGTCTGTTCTGTTAAGATACAGCCTGTTGTGCCTTAAAATGGCTTCTACTGTACTGCCTTAAAATAGCTTCTACTGTGCAGCACAGTGGAGTTGCCATGGTAACGGCTTCACAGTACTCCACAAGGGGGCTTCCTCTGGTAAGGGGGAAAATCCAACATTAGAAATTACGTTTGGCCCAGACATTTTCAACAAGGCGCTGCTGATTCTTGAGGACAAATGTATGGCCATGATCAATAAAACATTACTGCAACTCGGCCTGCCTGCACCACTATGAGACTGATACAACCTACTTCACGCAGATTACCTACGAGAAAAGAACTACAACATCGAACAGCTTAATGCATATATGGTGGACAAGAAGCCACTTCTAAATCAAGATCAGAAAAAAGCATTCCAAACAATCATGGATCGGCTAGCAAAACAACAAGGTGGTATCATTTTACTTGACGCTTCTGGGGGCACAGAGAAAACATTTTTAACTAATTTAATTCTCACCAAAACCAGGGCTCAGGGTGAAGTTGCTCTTCCTGTCTAATACAGGATTGGGATAAATAAATACCTGGGCAACGTTGGGTTATCAGCTAGTTTTCCATAAAATATAATACTAAGAGCTGCAATTTGGTGTGATGAGAGATTTTTTTTTTCCTACTAGATTGATGCAGTCTCCACACAAGTGCTCATTCATCTTTTTTCTCTCTCTCTCGCCTGGTATCCAAAACCAGGAAGAGAGAATTCTCACAAAACTAGTATTAGTCAGTTGTGGATCAGCTGAGCGACATATCTGAGCTCCACATCATATATTTGATCCAGCTGCCTTAGTCCACCGTAATATTCTTCAGTGTAGATTCAGATGCACGTTATAGAACTTGCAGGAAGTCATTGGTCCTTATGGATGAATGAGTTCTGAAGCCAATGCATTTCCATCACCGGTAAGAATGACCACAATGCTTCTAATAATGGGCCCATAGATGACTCTCTCCCTCCATATGTCCCAGCCTCCTGGATGCCTTCTGTCACATCTGAATTTACTTCTTCTCTTAGAAGACCATCTTGAGATTCCATTCATTAATTCAAAAGATGAAATTTGTTAGGTGATGCCGAAGTTCACTGTGCGGGTAAATCCAATGGAAATGCATGGAAACGTTATTCTGGAAAGAAATAACCATCCTTGTAATGGACCTGAGGAAGGTTCAGACCTCATAGCAATAGGTCACTTGCGTAGTCTGGATATTACAATGTATGGCAAGTCCTCATCAATCCTGGAACAAGATGGAGAAAGTTTTAATTGAGCAAGATATCATTTTGAAAAATCTAGCTGATATTTCACGAGAAGAGTCCTCCATTCCTCTACTTACAACAGAATCCCTTAGGCCACCAGACTTGAAATTTTGGGCTTAGACAACTTAGAACTTCGCCGTCTTCGGTCCAACCTAAGCATAGTACACAAAATTGTCTGCCACAACATCCTACCTGTCAATCAATACTTCAGCTTCAACCACAACAATACACGAGCACATAATAGATACAAATTTATGGTAAATAGCACCAAACTTGATTGCAGAAAATACAACTTCAGTAACAGAATTGTTAATGCCTGGAATGCACTACCTGACTCTGTGGTTTCTGCCACAAACTCCCCAAACTTTAACCTTAGACCAATGATTCCCAATCTTTTTTTTTGGCCATTCCCCACCTAAGCATCTCTAAAATTCTGATGCCCCCACCCCCCTGTGACCTATAATTCTTACTATTCAAAAAGTGACTCCTACTCACGCGGAGGAAGCCTAAAAGGCCATTAACTTGGTTTAAACAAGGTTCCAATTGCCCCCATTAAAAATCAAATTGCCCCCGTGGGGTGTTGGCCCCACATTGGGAACCACTGCCTTAGACTTTCTATTGTCAACCTCACCCCATTCCTATGAGGTCTTTAAGGGGCGTGCATAAGAGCACCAGCGTGCCTACCATCCCTGTCCTAATGTTCCCTTTTGTTCGTATCCATTTCATGTATTCATAATTATGTTTATAGTTGTATCTGTTATCTAATACATGCTTGACGAAAATAAATAAATACAAAAAAATTAAAATAAAATCCTGTATTGACATTATTTGAAGAATCTGGAAGAAGGAGTTATTTCAGAGATCCTAAGAGATTATTTCAGGATCCTAAGAGATCCTGTGTTAAATTCAGTCATTGTCAAGTTCATTTGACAAATGATCAATAGCATTTAGCTTAGTTGCTTCGTAAAGATTAACCAGGAAGCACAGCGCCAATATCTGTCTCTTGATCTAAATAAAGATTGTAATATGCTGGTACCTTGGTACACATTGTTAATTGGTTCTGGGAGGTGCAATGAGTACCAAAAACAATGAGTACCAAACAATTTCCCCCCATAAAGAATAATATAGTGAGTTACAAGGCAACTGACACCAACAAATTCTACCTTGTGCTTTGAGTACCAAACAAACGAGTACTGAAACAAAATTTTCCTATCAAAATGCATTGAGTACCAAATTTGATGAGTTTCAAAGCAGTTGAATACCAAGGTACCACTGTAATTTGAAAAATGTTTCTTTAAGTGAAAGGTGAACCAGCCTGCATGGCAAGTAAATTCTATAGAACTTAGAACTTCTAACATGCTCTGTTACTCCATATTTTTACCTTTGTGTTTTTTTTTAGTTCAGCATTAAAGTAGACCTGAAGATTAACTTGTTTTCTATAGATCCAACTTCATGACTATCATTTTCATTCAAAAACTAGGTTCATGCATTACATTACACTATGGTACATTTAACTATGGTTCCCTGAATAAAGAAATAACAATTGATTGGGTTCACACAACGTATCAACTCCAAAATACCAACCAAACCAGCATTATGGTTTAGCACGTGTCAATCTAACCAATCTTTTAAAAAATAATTATTTTTCCTTAACATTTTATAAGAAAAACAAAATAAGAAAAGAAGTGATGTGATGTAAACCCATGAGCAGAATTATAGTCCAAACATGGTTCCTATATGAGATTAAATGTTGCATAAAAATTTATTTTTCAAATAGAAATTTTAGACTTCTAAGTCTTGTAAAGTCCATTAACTTTACGAAAAGAATTGTACATGCTTTTCAGTTAAAAGTAGCTGTTAATATACTACATACATACAGACTTTGATAATATTCAATCAAAAGATGGCAGGTTGAAAAGGGAATTCAACTTTTAGAAATTTTTCTAAAAACTGTTTTGAAGCAGGAAATTAAAGTAACAAACAACATTTTGAAAAACTCAAACCACAAGGTGCATTTTTCAATATGGTTATCAAAGACTACGATTTGACTGATTGCCTGAATTAGCTAAAGACTACTGAATTTGAAATACAGTATCAGAGTTGCCTGTAATTTGCTTCTGTGAACTAATTCTTTTAATGATAGTAGTGACCGAGTGCTGGAAAGATTTCAGCAGGATAAACTCATATCTGTAAATATAATGTGCTTACTATATCTTTGGCCCCACCTTCTGGAGAATCTGCACATTGCAGAAATTTAGTCTTTTGGTTGATTCATAGAGCAAAAATTTTGCCAGCTATCTCGTAGGAAAAATACTGAGCTATATATCCTGTCAACAACTGTACTGTCCATTGTCTAGCCCAGCTCATGCAATTTTTCATAAACAACATGTAGCATGAGAAGCTCAGCTTGTACATTGGCTGCTGAAACCCAACAAGCTTAACCAGGTCCGGTGGCTTCATTCCTACACATTGCTAAACTTGGACAGTTTTTAACCCCTGTTAGGATTTACAAGCTTTTATCTGTTGTGGGAACTCAAACAGGTTGATTAGTTTATAATCCAGTGTATTGTGTAAATGAGTTAAATCAGTAACTAAGTTTAGGATGGTAGACAAAAATAGTAATTGCATTCCACAAGTTATTATAATTAAGACATTACTAGTTAAGACTCTATCCTTTCCCAATCTAAACCCGTTCAAATGGGATTACAGTCTCCAGAATCCCCAATCATATGGGAATTTTGGGAGTTGCAGTCCCAATACACCTGAACTAGACCACATGGAAAGAGACTGTGGTTTTGCACTGTGTTAGTGGCCACCAAATTGAAGCATTTCAAGGGAAAAAGTTTTCAGTGGTCCTCATTATACTGCATCCCTTTAAAAACACAGAAATAACAGAATAACAGATTGGAGGTCATTGGAGGTCTTCTAGTCCAACCTCCCATACCATTTCAGCAAATAGTTGTCCAATCTCTTCTGAAAAACTTTGAGTGTTGGAGCATTCACAACTTCTGGAGGCAAGTCATTCCACTGATTAATTGTTTTAACTGTCAGGAAATTTCTCCTTAGTTTTAGGTTGCTCCTCTCCTTGATTAGTTTCCACCCGTTGCTTCTTTTCCTGCCTTCAGGTGCTTTGGAGAATATGTTGTCTCTCTCTTCTATGTGGCAACCCCTGAAATATTGGAACACTGCTATCATGTCTCCCCTAGTCCTTCTTTTCATTAAACTAGATGTTCCCAATACCAGCAACTGTTCTTTATATGTTTTAATCTCCAGTCCCCTAATCATATTTGTTGCTCTTCTCTGCACTCTTTCTAGAGCATTGGCATCTTTTATACATCGTGGCGACCACAATTGGATGCAGTATCCCAAGTGTGGGTACTTACCAAGCATTATAAAGTGATATTAACCATGTGATCTTGATTCTATCCCTCTGTTAATGCAGCCTTCAACTGTGTTAGCTTTTTTGGCAGCTGCAGCACACTGCTGGCTCGTTTTTAAGTGATTGTCTACTACAACTCCAAGATCCCGCTCACAGTTACTACTATTGAGCCAGGTACCACCTATAGTATACCTGTGCATGTTTGTTCTTGCCTAAATGTAGAACCTTACTTTTTTCACCATTGAATTTCATTTTGTTAGACAGTGGCAATGTTCAAGTCTGTCAAAATCCTTCTGTACTTTAAGCCTACCTTCTGGAGTGTTGCTATTCCTTGCTAGCTTGGTATTGTCTGCAAATTTGATGAGTTCCCCATCTATCCCCTCATCCAAATCATTAATGAAAATGTTGAAGAGTACTGGATCTAAAACAGAGCCTTGGGATACTCCACTGCATACTTCTCTCCATGTGGATGCAGTTCCATTGAGGACTACATGTTGAGTGTAGTTGGTCAGCCAGATACGAATCCATTTGGTGGTGATGCTGTCTAACCCACATTTTTCTATCTTATCAAGTAGTAGGTTATGGTCTACTTTATCAAATGCTTTACTGAAGTCCAACTAGATTATATCCACAGCATTCCTTTGGTCCACTAACTTTGTCACTTTGTCAAAGAATGCAATAAGATTTGTCTGTCATGATCTGTTTTTGACAAACCCATATTGGCTTTTGGTTATGACTTTGTTTGCCTCTAGGAGTTCCTGATTAATTGCTTGACGATCTTTCCAGAATCTTCCCAGGTATTGAAGTCAGGCTGATAGGTCTGTCGTTTCCTGGATCTATTGTTTTTCCTTTTTTTAAAGATTTGAAAATTTCCAGACATTTTTGGCAGGGTTGGGAGAAAACAAAGAAGCCCACATATGCTGGTGTTTAATCTTTCAAATCAAAAGAATGTTAGAATTTCTAAAGATGTAATTGTTAAACCACCATAAAAATAAGGAAAGGGAGGTACCTTGTGCAAACAGCTTTGGAGATTTTTGGTTTTGATTGGCTCTTCTGGAATTCCACTTGACACCTCAGTTCGTTGTTCTAGAAATTTAAAGTATATAAGTATATACATCATATGAACCTCAAATATTAACACAGATAGGTGCTTAGCTTTTTTGCTTGCATGTTCTACAGAATACCAACAAATTGCAACTAACTAAAAAGATGGGATAAACACAGGCTTACAACAGTTCATTTAGTGACTGTTCATTTAGTGACTTTTCATTTAGTGACTGTTCATTTAGTGATTGTTCAAAGTTTGAACATCACTGAAAAAAGTGACTCATGACCGTTTTTCACACTTACAACCATTGAAGCTTTCCCTTGGTCACATGATCAAAATTCAGATGCTTGGCAACTGACTCATATTTATGATGGTTGCAGTATCCAGGTGTCATGTGATCACCTTTTGTGACCTCCTGACAAGCAAAGTGGAGAACCAGTTTCACTTAACGACGGTGTTAAAAATTTACCAACTGCAGTGATTCACTTAATAACTGTGGCAAGGAAAGTCGTAAAGTGGAGCAAAACTCACTTAACAAATGTTTCACTTAGCAACAGAAATGTTGTGTTCAACTGTGGTTGTAATTTGAGGACTACCTGTAGAAATGCCTCATAAATGCCATCACAACACAGGCCTCCTTGGGTTAGAGGTAGCAATGCCTAAAATTGGTCTTGCAAATTCGTAATACTGAAGACACCACAAAACCAAAAGACTGAATCCAATTTAGATCTTGCAACATTCTTATATTCTATTGAAGTAGTACAGAAAGCTTGTCATAATATTTAGGAAAGTGTATCAAAAATGATTTGTCCTGAAATTGATCCATCCAGATTTTGGGGGTGACAGGGAGGAATGATTCAGCCATAATGGATAGAACAGGTCTGAGTTTTCAAATAGCAACAATACAAACGGAAATAGAAAGACTGTGGAAAAAGAAAGCAAAGATAATTTCAAGAGTAGTAAAACTGCCCTCGGTGCAGTTCCAAAACATCTGGAGAACCACTTGAACAACATCAGCGTTGATGTTGAGTCAATTGCATGAGTCAATTGCAAAAGGCAGCTTTACTTGGAACGGATATTTATGGAGATTCTCAATCATCCAGGTCATGGTTGTCCCAAAGACGCTTTTAAAAAGGCAACTGGATTTTATTGGCTTTTTTCCCCTTGAAAATGTTTTGCTCCTTGTCTAAGAAGCTTTTTCAGTACAAAACTGAAGAAGCTTCTTGGGTGGGAAGGAAAATATTTTCAAGGAAAAAAACCAAAAAAAAGCCCAATTGCCTTTTGGAAAAGCACTTTTGGGAGTTTATTTGGAACAGCTTATATCCTGCAACAACAATACCTTTAACACCATCACACAACATTTGCCTATCCCAAGTCCTTGGGAAGGACTTGATAGGTGGATAAAAATGCCAATCCAGTCTAAAGAATTGGCTGACAGTTTGCAGAACCATAATAGTAATAATAATAATAATAATAACTTTACCTTTACTTGAAGCATTGCTAGCTGGTCTTTTAAGTTTTCTATTCTTTCATCCTGATATTTCAGTTCATTATTCAGCCCCTCGATCTAAAACAATGTGGAGAAATTATTTAGTAACAGAATTTGCTAGATGCCATTTTGAAGTTCATGCCTTCAAAATCCATGAGATTAATTCACAGCAGAAGTCACTCCGGAGTAACATTTCACATTGCCAGCATGATAAAAAAATATTTCTATGCCTTTTATCCTGTTACATTTCTTTATATTTTGTTCTTATTGTGATTTAAGAACAGCCTCTTCTCAAGTTAACACATCTGAAGATTTCTGAAAGTTTGTGCCCTTGTACCAATCCAATTTAAATTTTTTACCAATGTCTGAAGAATGATATACTATAGAATCATATTGTTTACACTCAAAGGTATTTTCAGATTTATCTAGAATTATAGGCAGTTCTCAGCATACAACCTTATGGAGCCTGCCTGATACAGTTGTGATACTAGTAAAACAGCTCAGTCTCGTGGCAAATCTGATTTTACAATATTTTTTGTGGTGGTCATTAAATAAACCAATGGATTCACTATGGGCATCATTTTACCAAAAACCAGAAGTGCTGTCATCTGACCGAGGAATGTTGCAAATGCTGTAAATATGACCAAAGTTGCTGAGCATCTGAAATTCGGTCACATGACTGAAGAGGGGACATTGGAAGTTCAGATCCAGGTCGTAAGTCCCTTTTTTGGGTCCCCGTCATAACTTCGAACCCTAACCAGTCATACATAAGCTGAAGAATGTGGCACATTGGACTAAATGCTGTTAAAGTAGCACTTAAGTTGCCAGCTGCCTGCAATTACTGCAAGTTCAAATCTCACCAGGCTCAAGGTTGACTCAGCCTTCCATCCTTTCGAGGTAGGTAAAATGAGGACCCGGATTGTGGGAGCAATAAGTTGACTTTGTATAAAAAAGAACACCATTTGGGGGGACCAAAAGCCCTACTAAGCAGGTATATACAAAAGTATGAAGGCTATTGCTTAATGCATTGTAAGCCGCCCTGAGTCTCCAGAGAAGGGCGGCATATAAATCGAACTAATAAATAAATAAATAAATAAATAAATAAATAAATAAATAAATAAATAAATAAGATTACTACCTCTATAATCAAACACAATAGGTTCCCTCAAATGCCTTAAAGTAATATGGAAGTATGTTTCCTCTTGAGTCATCTTTGAGCTTTGAACACACATGCATTAGATATTTACTTGCCCTGCATTATTTGTTCAACATTACTACATTATTGCTTTTATCATTAATATCTGTATGCTGCCTGCAGTTTACTGAGGCAACAAATAAACAGAATAAATAAACGTTTGCTACGTAATTGCTTTTAAATCTTATTTTTTCAAAACTAAATAAATAATAAAATAACAATTTAGGCTTATGTTCCACCTTTTCTCCTCAGCTCAAGGTGTTTTATATAAATCCCTTCATATATTTTTTTCCTCACAGAAAGAATCCCTGTGTGAGAGAGTAATTGGTCCAAAATCACATGAGAATGAAAAGTTTGACAATTATAAGACATTATCCTTCTTAAAAATACAGCTACATTCAATTTGGTATATATTATCATCTTTGCCAACAATTTTCACTTAGTTACTCCTTTGGATGGTGAGTGGGTGGGTGTGTTTGAGAAAAAAATGCAGATGTGTAATAAAAATATTAAAAAAGACAGAATAAAACTTTTGACTTTAGTTTTAATATTCATAGTGAACTGCCTATATGTGATTAGAGATATAACTTTTCTCTTTGCTTCATGAGCTTTCATGATTTTTATCTTCAAAAATGCCCCTTTTTCTGTTTTTATATTTTTCTGTATTTTGTTCAATGATTAATTGGATAACTGTTTCTTCCAAATAGCTGCATCTCAAGTATTTGAGACAGATATGCAGTTAATGACCCTGTTAATTAATGAGATAGTTATACAATATTACAGAGCACAACAGCAGGAGCTATTTAAAAATTAGATTACATTAATCCTATATTATAATGTCATGTAATGTAATGTAAGTTGTGTTTATATATGTATAGTAAGTATTGTATTTCAACATAACTTTTAAATATAAATGCACAAGACTGCAATACATGAATAGATTTGCTCATGTTCAAATCAAAAATAATAATAACAAAAGTCTAATTGAAGTGTTTTAGTTGATTAATGGCCAAATAAATGGAAGTATTAACAGAAAATTATCCAATGAAAAGGAAGAATTGTATAATAGTTACAACATCTCCCTTTTCAGTTCCCATATTCTGAGGGGGGGGGGTCTTCTGTAAATCTGCCAATCCCGCTTATTTCTCAGTCCTTCCTTCTCACACATACATGAAGATGATTTCACTACGTGGTGATCTGAACTCAGAGAATGGCTTGGCTCCTAGGATATTGAAATAGATTATTCAAACCTGGCGAATCAGATTGTGCAAATGTTGATGCTGAGAATGGATCACACGGTCCAGGTGAGTAATTTGCTCCTGAAGAACACACATCTCTGACTGAATTTTTACACAGCTGGAACAAATGAGAAAGAGAAATCAGCGAATGCATGCATTGGCAAAGCACTAAAGGAAGAAAAATGAAGACTATCTGGGATAAAGCCATTGAGAAAATTTGCATGTACTTTATGGAAGATGGACCCTTTCTTATTGACCAAATGGGCAAATGATGATGAAATGTTCATGTTAGTAGGAACTGATCAAAAAATCTCTTGTTCCAATAGAATTTAGGTTTTGTTAACATTTTTTTTCTTTTCAATTTTATGAATGTGTCCCTAGAAGGTTGAAATGCTAATTAGCAATGACAAAATCAAGAAACCAAATTTGGATGATCTTGTCAACTTGCAAAACATTTCTGGTCTGCTCTCGAGTTGTCATGGGCAGAAAGGAGGGAGATCTGTCAGTGTAGTTCAGCAGCCATGTTTACAAACACATTCCATGCATACCTTCCTCCAAGGTTGGATCTCAGATTACCAGAGCCAGTTTGTGAGGCATGGTTTCTACAGCCCACGAAAGTGCCTCTTGGAGAATGTGATTTATGACACAGTTTGAGAGGAGGTGGGGGGGAACAGGGTCATAGTTGAAGTCAAGATGAAGAGGAGCTGTAAATCTGCTCCCACCATCTATCATGTGCAGATTTTCCAGAGTTTCTGGCATAGGAGAAGGGTATATTTGATGGAGTCTATCCCACCAGTATTAAATGATACCATTGAACAGTATTTCCTAATTAAAATGAGATCAGGTGAACCTGCCATTTTACAGATTACATTTTTCTTTCAGCTCTTGTATAATTTACAGAGTGGTCTATCTTTTACTAACACAAAGATTTTCGTTTGCTTTTAAAAACCTGGCAAGGGTTTATAGACCACTATTGATCTAGGTTTTGAGGCTTAAAAAAAATTGTGAAGTTCACTAACCTTCGAGCATTCTCCGCTTTTGACATCATCTGATGCAACTTCTGTTTTAAAAGCTGTTTCTTTTCATCCAGTGTTTTCTTCTCCTAAAGAGAGCAAAGGAACAATGATTGTGCCTGGTGTACATCTTTTCTTTAACAATCATCATCATCATCCAAAGTTCAAGCATTCCTCATAATTCACCTTCAGGGATGACCACAACACCTGGCAAACTGCAGATTTGCAAAACTTTCATTGTTGGAAGAGGAGAGATGAAGTCATCCTGTTCTAAACTTCTACTGGGGACAGGAATCCAGATTAAAACCTGGTTGACCAGAATCTACTTGAATGTTTTTAATTTAAATCAATTCACCCTTCCTTTAGTCTACTCTAAAGTTACAATCAGAATAGAGCTGGAAGAGATCTTGAAGATCTTCTAGTTCAACCACCTACTCAAGCAGGAGACCCGATATCATTTCAGACACCTCCAGTGATGAAGTCCCTACAACTTCTGAAGGAAAGCTGTCCCACTGGTTAATTGTTCTCAGTGTTAGGAAGTGTCTCCTTAATTCCAGGTTGCTTCTCTCCTTGATCAGTTTCCATCCATTGTTTCTTGCCTTGCCTTTTGGTGCATTGGAGAATAGATTGATCCCCTCTTCTTTGTGGCATCCCTTCAAATACTGGAATACTGCTATTATGTCACCCCTAGTCCTTCTTTTCACTAGACTTCTTCTTCTTCTTCTTGTGAAATATCCATCATCGGACATTGGCAATCATGTTGGCAATCCTATTTTTGTCAACAGCCGCATGAAAAAGTGCTGCTGAGTTTTGTCCAAATCAGTCCCTTAGGTTTTGAAGCCATGATGTTCTTCTTCTGCCTGGACCTTGTTTGCCTTCAATCTTTCACTAGACTAGCCATACCCAATTCTTGCAACTGTTCTTCATAGATTTTAGTCTCCAAGCCTTTAATCATCTTAGTTGCTCTTCTCTGCACTTTTTCCAAAATGAACTACTGTTATTCTTGGGAACAATTTTCTTAACATTCATGTTTCCTTCTGTAGCTTAAAATAATTTTATAAAATGGGTTCATTCAATAATCAGCTGAAAAAAAATATTCCTTTAATCTTTTATTTTCAAAGCTAAACATACCCATGTCTTCAGTCTCTCCTGTGCCAGTTTTTGCCAGTTTTCTGATCCTCCTTTCCTGTTCTTCTCTGAACCTTTTTTCAGTTTGTCTGAATCTTTCTTAAAATACGATGCCTTCATTTGTCTCAGATTCTATGAGGGAAATGATTCATGTAACATGTTCAACTAGGATTGGACATCTTGAGGTGGTGGTTGAACATGGCATTAGGAAAATGCCAACATCTTAGCAGGTTAAGTGAGCCAGTCTGTCACATTAAGCCAACTTGTTGTTTATTTGGATTCAGCACATTCTGCAAACAGAGCAACTATGTTTTGTTAATCTAGGTTTAAGGGAAAAATGGGTGAAATTAAGTATTTTTTTATCAGGGCAACCTGGTCTACCCAATTATGGGACAGAGCATACTGCTTCCGCTTTCATCTTTCAGCCCCAATCCAGGAACCTTCACAGGAAGTCGCTTTTACAACAAAATATTTGTGTGTGTGTTTGTGTTTGTGTTTGTGTGTGTGTGTGTGTGTGTGTGTGTGTGTGTGTGAATTTTGGGTGAAATGTTATTTCAAATTCCAAACCACGTTAAACGAAAAAGGAATCTTTAGAAACAAATTAATGTTTTAGTATTTTGCCAGAGAGGGCAGTTCTATCTAGTAAAGGATGCCTACCTAACCAGAAACTTGTCATGAGGATGTTACAACTATAATTTTGATGAGTTTAGCTGTTTCACAGGACCAGAGGTGAACATCATGTTTTTGATCATTTCCCATTTCCAAAACCTCTCAGTCCGAATCCTTTGCTGAGATTCTATTAATGGAATGTGATTCCTTTGGCTTCCAACTTAATTACAGAAGCATATGGTGACTTGGATTTTAGATAACACACCTATTCCAGTAACTCTGTTTGCTTCACAAGTGTCACTGCTTATTAGTGAATCCACTGAGAGAGTTTTGCAAAAGGCCTTGCCGGAGTGTTTTTCAATAACAACAAAGAATGAATATTGTAGGAATTCAGATGGCTGTCACAAATTGGCTTTCTTCTGTTTTCCGGGGAAATAATAGCTCACCTCAACCGTTTTCTGTTAACACCTACATTAAAAAAATTCTTTCTTGCCTCCAGATCCCACACACTGTCACACACTTTAATGTCAAATACAGAGTGTCGTGCAAAAATCTACTTATTAGTAAGGAATATGTAAATATTTGTCATTTCTAGTTCCGGCTTGAAAAAAAAAAAAAAAAAGCTTCGCCAATTGAAAAGTGTGAGATTAATCATCCGTTTCATACAAAAAGCAATCACAATATTTGACCCGACATGCTCAGTACAACCAACAATAATACGTACTTACAGGTAGTCCTTGACTTACAACCCCAATTTAGTCCAAAATTTCCATTGTTAAGCAACACAGTTTTTGAGTGAGTTTTGTTCACTTTTCTTGCCACAGTTGTTAAACAAATCACTGCAGCTGTTAAGTTAGCTACACGGTTATTAAGTGAATCTGACTTCCCCTTTGATTTTATTTATTTATTTTATTTATTTTATTCAATTTGTATACCGCCCTTTTGCTTGTCAGAAGGTTGTAAAAGGGGATCACATGACCCCAGGACACTGCAACCGTCATAAATATGAGCCAGTTGCCAAGTGTCTGAATTTTGATCACATGACCATGGGGATGTTGCAGCGGTCGTAAATGTGAAAAATGGTCACGTCATTTTTTCCAGTGCTGCTGTAACTTTCAACAGTCACTAAATGTACTGCTGTAAGTCAAGGAATACCTGTGTTTCTTCATATATACAGTCAGGTCCATAAATATTGGGACATCGACACAATTCTAACATCTTTGGCTCTATACACCACCACAATGGAGTTGGAATGAAACAAACACAATGTGCTTTAACTGCAGACTGTCAGCTTTAATTTGAGGGTATGTACATCCAACTCGGGTGAACGGTGTAGGACTTACAGCAGTTTGTATATGTGCCTCCCACTTTTTAAGGGACCAAAAGTAATGGGACAATTGGCTTGTCAGCTGTTCCATGGCCAGGTGTGTGATATTCCCTCATTACCCCAATTACAATGTGCAGATAAAAGGCCCAGAGTTCATTTCAAGTGTGCTATTTGCATTTGGAATCTGTTGCTGTCAACTCTCAAGATGAGATCCAAAGAGCTGTCACTATCCATGAAGCAAGCCATCATTAGGCTGAAGAAACAAAACAAACCCCATCAGAGAGATAACAAGAACATTAGGCGTGGCCAAAACAACTGTTTGAAACATTCTCAAAAAGAAGGAATGCACCGGTGAGCTCAGCAACACCAAAAGACCTGGGAGACCATGGAAAACAAGTGTGGTGGATGACCGAAGAATTCTTTCCCTGGTGAAGAAAACACCCTTCACAACAGTTGGCCAGATCAAGAACACTCCCCAGGAGGTAGGTGTATGTGTGCCAAAGTCAACAATCAAGAGAAGACTTCACCAGAGTGAATACAGAGGGTTCACCACAAGATGTAAACCATTGGCGAGCCTCAAAAACAGGAAGGCCAGATTAGAGTTTGCCAAACAACATCTAACAAAGCCTTCACAGTTCTGGAACAAGATCCTATGGACAGATGAGACCAAGATCAACTTGTACCAGAGTGATGGGAAGAGAAGAGTATGTAGAAGGAAAGGAATTGTTCATGATCTTACGCATAACACCTCATCAGTGAAGCATGGTGGTGGTAGTGTCATGGCATGGGCATGTATGGCTGCCAGTGGAACTGGTTCTCTTGTATTTATTGATGATGTGACTGCTGACAAAAGCAACAGGATGAATTCTGAAGTGTTTCAGGCAATATTATCTGCTCACATTCAGCCAAATGCTGCAGAACTCATTGGACAGCGCTTCACAGTGCAGATGGACAATGACCCAAAGCATACTGCAAAAGCAACCAAAGAGTTTTTGAATGGACAGAAGTGGAATGTTATGCAATGGCCAAGTCAATCACCTGACCTGAATCCCATTGAGCATGTATTTCACTTGCTGAAGACAAAACTGAAGGGAAAATGCCCCAAGAACAAGCAGGAACTGAAGACAGTTGCAGTAGAGGCCTGGCAGAGCATCACCAGGGATGAAACCCAGCGTCTGGTGATGTCTATGCGTTCCAGACTTCAGGCTGTGATTGACTGCAAAGGATTTGCAACCAAATATTAAGAAGGGAAAGTTTGATTTATGATTATTATTCTGTCCCATTACTTTTGGTCCCTTAACAAGTGGGAGGCACATATGCAAACTGCTGTAAGTCCTACACCGTTCACCTGAGTTGGATGTACATACCCTTAAATTAAAGCTGACAGTCTGCAGTTAAAGCACATTGTGTTTGTTTCATTCCAACTCCATTGTGGTGGTGTATAGAGCCAAAGATGTTAGAATTGTGTCGATGTCCCAATATTTCTGGACCTGACTGTAAAAAAAAGATCACTTAAATTCTTAGAAAGCTTTGGCAGTCATTGGTACATGCTGAATTGGGTGCCATGAAAGTACAGTAGTGGTCAAAATTGTGGAAACTTTTTGGGAAAAGTGTATTTTTGAGGTGTGATGGCAAATAACACTTTTTTTTTTTTTGAGTTTCAAGATAATCCTATTTCACTGCTGGAATGGCCTGGGAATAGCCCAGACCTTAACCCAATTGAAAATCTACGGAGCCGACTAAAGAAACTTGTCAGTCAGAAGCGACCCAGCAATAAACCCCAGTTAATAGAAGCAATCATTCAATCTTGGTTTCACATTGTAACAACTGCAGAACTAAAAGACTTGGTTCACTCCATGGGAAGATGTTGTAAGGCCGTCATTCATGCTAAAACTTACCCAACTAAGTATTAACTGACATGGTGATAATTTTTGTATATCTCGTTTTTCTATGGTGATAATTTTTGTATATCTTGTTTTTTTCTACATGTTTCACTTTTCTTCTTTATACTGTAACTGCTATTCTAATAACAAATCCTTCATAAAAGTTATTGCATTATATTCTTGATTAAATTATCTTTCCATTGATAGATAATTTTATGGTACTACTCCAAAAAAAAAAAAAAAGTGGTGTTATTAGTTAGTTTTAGAAAATACACTTTTTCCAAAAGGTTTCCACAATTCTGGCCACTACTGTACGTGACCAATACAATTTCAATTTCACCTCTTCCATCCTCTGTACTCGTTTTTCCAGTTCTTCAATCTGGCCATATTTCTCATTCAGCTGCGTGCTTAGTTGGCTGAGGCTTTCCGTGCTTTGCTTTAAGATCTGTTCTTGTTCAAGTTTGCGGGCCTGCAATTAGAAAGCAAAAGCAGGGCTCTGAAGAATCTAGAAACCAATTATATCATACTATTAGCTCAAGGCAAGGGACACAAACTGATGTTTGGAAACAGTAACACCCGCACTCTGAATAGAGCCATAGGCCAGTCCTATTTTTGGAAAACTCGACAAGGGCCTGTTCTCCTTGATGGACAACCTGACATGACAGAGTTATCTGGAGTTCTCAGTCTCTTTTTGCTGATTCCTACTTGAATCCCTTCCAACCACAACTGTTAAAAAAGTGAGGGTGGAACTAACTACTATTTTGAGGTAAAAAAATATGGAAAACTGCAGTGTCAACACCAAACTTGATTTAGAAAAATGTCTATCCTCTATGATGGCCTATCATCTTTTTAAAAACTGCTTTAACTATGTAATTACACGTGGTTCATAACTGGAAGACAGTAAAATTATAGAATTGAGGTTGATGGGAATTGGAACAATAATGTCACTCTTAGCACTGGCAGCAAAACCCAGGAAAATTACTATGGGATTTTTTTGTGTAAGATTTCTTCCTGAGGTAGATATTAAAGTGAAAACATCCAGAAAGCAATCTTTGAACTGAAAGTTTGTGCTCCGAACTTGCTCTTTAACTTAGGTTTTTGTATTTTGTGATGTTCTCCAATTCTTTCTCCTCTGTTCTGCTGCATTAAATGAAGAGGCTGAAGCCTCCAAGCAGGTTACCGTTTTTGAGTAATTTACATGAACTTCCAGTGAGAGGTGGCTGCGATGAGTAAAACTGTGCCAGAAGTTGGTAACTTTGAAAAAAGGTCTAGCCATGGATTTTAGTGGCAAAGAGTTTACTTAAACATAGATACTTTGAATATTAAAGGTCCTTAGTGCTCTCTGAGATTGGTTGCTTTCTTGCAGAGTTTTCATTACCCAAACTAGGTAACATCATTAATGCTGATGATGTTACCTAATTTGATATTACCTAGTTGGAGTAATGAAATGTGTACAAGAAAACAACAAAACTCAGAGAGCACCAAGGATCCCTCATTTCAACATATTCTCCTTTATTGGTACTTGGAATATTACTATATGAGAAATCTACAATTGTGGAAAAGAACAAAGGTTTAAGGCTTGTTTTAAATGGTAGCCTCCAATATTATCAAGGATAGAAGCAACTTAGAACTAAGGAGAAATTTCCTGACAATTTAAATAATTAATCAGTGGGACAACTTACCTCCAGAGGTTGTGAACGCTCCAACACTGGAAGTTTTTAAGAAGATGTTGGCTGACCATTTGTCTGAAGTGGTGTAGGGTTTCCTGCCTAAGCAGGGGGTTGGACTAGAAGACCTCCAAGGTCCCTTCCAACTCTGTATTCTATTTTATTATCTATTCTACTTCTGTGAGATTTGTTTGTGACTTTCACCTCTAAATCAGGACCTCAAGACAACATTCACAACATTAGTTTTTATTTTCCCCTACAGCAATGACCCTGTTCCATGAGACCAAATAAGAGATTGCTTGTTATGTGATAAAGAGAATTCCTGGAAGAAGAAGAGCTTTGTATGCTGTTACCCACTGTACAGGAAGAGACGGTGGATACCAACTCTGCTAGGATGAATGGACTGGTTAATTCTTATCCAGATTGGTTTCTCACATGTTCATTCAAGATTCCATTCTGGTTTGTCTCTGGGATAGTTTGCATTTTTTAAATCAAAATATGTTCAATTCATATTTAAATATATATATATAGTTTCTCTGTCACAATGTATGAATTGCTGTGTCTTTAAAACAATTAATACTTTCATTAATGTAGATCAGTGGAGCTCACATCAATATGTAGATTAGCTTGTAAGTCTGCTTGCTTTGAAGAGTGGCTCAAACAATGTTGTAGAATATCCCTAGACTTGTTCTCTTGTCCCCAATCATCTTCTCAAAATATCCAGAAGTTTCTCAAAGACTTTCTAGAGAACTATACTTTGCATGACACTCCAGGCAACTGCCTAGCTTACTGTTGTGGCCCGCCAGCTGCCAGCAGAGCTGGTGGCAGACTCGGACAATGAGGAGGTTGGGGAAGAACTTGGGCCAGTTCTGGGGCCTGGGGAAATGCTCTGATGGATGCTCAATGTCAGACACTGAGAGAGAGCCAGGACCATCCGACATTTCCCAGCCACCAGAGAAGCAGCTGCCTTTCGAGGCTGCTATGAGTGAGGAGGAAGAACAGCTGGGGCCTGTTCCAGATGCATGTATGCACAGAGCTGTTAGGAGAGGAAGACAACTGAGGACAAGAAGTCAACTCGGGAAGCAAGACACATGTGGATGCTGTATGGCTCCACCCTGGCTGGGGAATAAATAGAGGGAAAGGGGAGTGGTTGTTGTAGGAGACAGCAGTTTGGATTTCTGAATATTTTGCTCATGGTGTTTCGTGCCACAGAGACTGCTTACCAGAACTTAATTTGCAGCCTTTCAGTTGGGAGCTCACAGCCTGGCAATTATCACAAGGAACTGATAAGGTCTGTTACTGCAGTTAACTCTTTGAAGGACTATTGCCTGACTTTTCGGTGTGTGAATGCCATTAATTCACAGGGGATAAATAAAGAGGATTTTTTTGTGACACGGAATCTGTTTCTTGTTTCTGCTAAAGCTGGGTCAGAATACTTAGTATCTGCAATTTTCTTGGGGTGATTTCAGAAGTGGTTTGTCCTTATCTTCTTCCTATGACTCAGATACCCTCGTTCCTATGGCAGATGCCTCCACCACCAGATGGCCTCATTCCTAAGGCAGAACTAGATCTCACAATCTCCTAGTTTCCCCCTCGGTGCCTTAAACACTACACCAAACTGGCTCTCTTACGTTTCATACCTTCATTTTATTTATGATTCCTTCTTGTCTTTTCTTCATGTCTTCAGAGCGTTTTGTGTAATTCTCCTGGAGCTTTTGGGAGCTATGCTTCACACACTGGGCACCAGCTGCCCTTAAAGCTTCAAGCTGAAAAAGACACAATGAAAACAGATTATTTAAATCATTTGAGGAGGGACAACTGTTCCTCTTCTTCAAAAAAGGGACCACGTGCCATATTAAGAGTATCACATGCCATGGAAATAAGTTCTCAGTATGAAATATTGTGTTGTAATTTGAAAGATTATGATTAGACATATTGAGAAGAGAGGCAAGGCCTATTTTAATTCAGCATTTAATAATGGTATCTTTATTATGGTCCAAAACCAGTACAAAATGTATGGCGCTTGTTAGTTGCTCATATTGTTAGTCATTGCATGGATTTACTCTCCTGCAAATTAAGTTTTAACGTTTTAACTTATTTTTAATGGTTTTCATTTTAGTTTTCTATTTATAACTATTTACTGTGCTTTGTTTTTAAGTGTGTAAGCCAGCCAAAGTCATGTATGAAAATTGAATGAATAAAATAGGTTGAAACAATGCTGGTACTTTTCAGAAATACAGCACCATAACTGTTTAATCCATGGTAAATTCTTTTTTATATAGTCATTTTATTAAATATAATTACAACAATGAAAACTAATACAAACTGAAAATAGAAAAATAAAAAGAGAGAGTAAAAAGTGGGGGGGGGGGAAAAAAATAGAAAAAGACATTAAAAAATAAGCAAAGAAAAACAAAAAATATAAAGAACCGACTTCCCACCTTCATCATGAGTATAAGCAATTTAGTAATTTATCACCCCTTAGAAACAACACATAATCTCTTCTTTCCATATCCTATCTCTTATCTATAAACCAATCCATAAAGCCTCATCATTTCAGCCTGTCAGCAGAAATCCATTAAGAGTTGCTGAGATAAATGCATCTTAACTTTGATTAAACAAAATCCCAACTTTATATTCTTTTCTTTTACTTCTAACAATCTTAATCTTTAATCCCTTCAAATGATGTCATAGAATTTGATTTCTTTTCATTTCTTGTTTGTCCTTTCTCACAAAATTCTTCAAAACTTTAACAAGCCTCTTTTGTAAATTCAATGTAAGAGAATGATGCTGGTCACACTCTTGATTTGTTGTTTGTGTATCCCTTTTGATTATTAAGATAGCAGCTGGTTTCATTTGTATGTCCAGTGTAAAGTCTTGTAAAAATCCACTTTCAATTCAGTCTCAGATCATGTCAGTAAAACCTGCTCCTCTTCCATAACATCTTTTAGATACAGTCTATCTAGAGGCAGAAACTTTTAAAATTAACTTCTGTGGTCCTGTGTTCAAAACTATACTTTAATCGATCCAAAGTTAAAATATTTTGCTTCATTCTGTAATGGAAAGTCCAGCAAGTCTTCTCCTTTAATTATAACCTTTGATTCTTTGTAGTTCCCCTTAGTGCCCAGTTTTAAAAATCTTTATTTAAAAAAACAAAAACAATGCAAAAACATGTTTCCTCAGGAAGTATTCTTTATAGTTAATTCCAAAATCTTATTTCATACTTATCTGAACGCTTAGTCTACTTGTAACTTTCTAAAATCGAAGTTTTAATCACCCCTTTTGCTGTCAATTCCAAAAAAAGTATGTTTTTAAAGTTGGAGTTAAAACTTCTTTACTAAGGATTGAAGGAAGTTCACTGGGTGCTGTAAAACTCCAAACGTCAATCCAAACGTTCCTAATAGCTGAACAGCTGTTAATAGCAACTTCCAAAAAATGCTCAAAATAAAACAAAGTAAGTGAACTCAGTGTCCTTTCAAGGGTGCCAATTGTGGGTTGACCAAGATGGCGATTCCTTTGTCTCTCATAGCGTTAAACCTCTTGGAGATTGGTATCTTGCAGTTTCCTCATGAGGAACAGCTGTCTGGAGCACCTGTGGGCGATCTCAAGTCGTCTCCTTGTCTGGAGAGCAATTATTGAACAGCCTGTCCACTCACCGGCTCTTCGTTCCGCCATGATCATTGGTTCTACTTTTCAGTCTACTTCTATTAACAGATCTAGATAGGATGCAGCCTTATGGCTAAGGCACAAAATGTAGCAATTAAAAAGGGGGATATCAAGATATCGTTGAAAAAAACTACTAGGTACCAGAGGTGGGTTTCAGCAGGTTCTGAACAGTTCTGGAGAACCGGTAGCGGAAATTTTGAGTAGTTCAGAGAACTGGTAGTAAAAATTCTGACTGGCCCCACCCCCATCTATTCTCTGCCTCCCAAGTCCCAGCTGATCGGGAGGAAATGGGGATTTTGCAGTAACCTTCCCCTGCCACGCCCACCAAGCCACGCCCACCAAGCCACACCCACAGAACCGGTAGTAAAAAATTTTGAAACCCACCACTGCTAGGTACCATTGACAAAGGTGGTCAGGGAATATTTTCATTAGAGGACAAATTTTCCTTAGCGTATGTGTTTGTGTGTGTTGCATGTATGCATCTTCAAGTCATTCTTGGCTCCTGACAAATCCCTGCAGAGTTGTTGTTGTTTTTTGGCAAGTTTTTCCAATGTTTGCTTCCTAGAGCTAAGAAAGGACTACATCAGACTGGCAATGCAGTTCTCCATAAACTCTGCAGAAAAATTAATTCTAGGGTTTCTGGTTCACCAAAGTTCAAGGGCATTACTTAAGTGCCACAGGGATTTCCTTTCTATCTGTCATCAATAATTACAGAAGGGAAAGCAATAAAATGTGTTCTAGAAAAAAGCCCATTAGTAGTGGATATAGGCTAATTTAAATAATGTGCAGGTTGTGTACCTTTGCTTCACTAAGGAGACACTATAACCTGGAGGCCCTTCCTAAGTTATGTTCAATGTCTTCTAACATTTGTTTAATAAGCTCCATGTTATTGTTATAACCCATAAGGAAATCAGGGAACATGCCAACGGGAAGTTTGTTAGTTATTGCTATATACCAGTGATGTCTAACCATTTTGTCATTGTGTGCCGAAAGCGCGCACACCCATAATGCAATGCGTGCGCGACACCCACACCCACACTACCCCCATGCATGCATGTGCTACACCCTGCGTGCATCCCCTACGCATATGTGCATGATCCCCCACACTCCACCCCTGCACATGCACACACAATCTTCCTGCATGCGCCCTGTCGACATGCATGTGCACGCAACCCCTGCGCTTACACTTGTGACCCCCCCGGCATGTGCCCCACCCCCCACGCGTGCATGCGTGTCTCTTGCATGCACTCCACTCCCCACACATGAGCGGCAGAGACCCGAAAACTACCTGGCCAGCAGGAGATGTGCGCGCTTGTACGGTGGAGCTGAGCTGGAGCGATGGCTTGTGGGCCCAGAGAGAGGGCTCTGCATGCCAGAGAAGGCTCTGTTTGCCATCACGGCTACATACTATCTAGTTTTAAATTTATAAGAGGTGCAGAAGTTCTGTGGAAAAAGGCTCCAAGACAGTAAAATACGGTTGGTTACCAAGCTTTCATTTTGACGGTAATCAACCCAATCTGCAGCCAAGGCATAGCAATGGAAACACTTCTAAATCTAGAGAATATGGATCTCATAAAGTGTTCTTGTATTCTTTCAGTTCGTTGGCATTTTATACTAGGTTTCCATCCAATATTTTGTTTCCCATAGTCGTCAACCAAGTTTCTTTAGATGCTTACATACTTCTCCCCTTTTAAATAACTTGGTATCACATGAAAACTTCATCAGCTCACTGGTTAGTCTTACCTACTACCAAAACTCTTCTGTTTGATTGTTTGTAATCTTCAATTAGGCAAAACAGTGCATCACAGGACAACAATTTTTGGAACACAGCGCCTCAAATTGGCCAACTTACAGAATGTGTCCAAAATCTGGGAGCCATGACTCCCACGGGATTGTAATTTAGCAAAGCTGGGGTCACTCAGTGCTGCCACACTGCGCAGTTAGCTGCAATCACAGAATCATCACCTCCAACCCTCCCTGCCACTTTCCTACAAGGGAAGTCAATGGGGAGAAGGAAGTCAGAAGTTGATGCCAGCTCTCCCAGGTAAACCAGACTGGAAACTCAACTGGACGGACTAATTCTGCTTTATTGTAAGGCTATGAATAGACACTTTGACATTAGCAACGTCTATAGTCTATGCAAAAGAGGCAATCAACCAGCCCAAAAGAGAAAAAGACTCCAGCCCCTCTCCATTAGTAATCAGCACTCAGATCAGTATAGATTAACTCCAAGGTCAATTTTGGACCAACAATCAAGTAAGCAACACTCCTGTTCTGTCCCCCTTCCTCACACAGGCAAACGTAATACCAAGCACGTCTGCCAATATTTTATTAGGTAAACAGATTAGAATTCTTGGCAGACCAAGGTTTTGGCAGCAAACTGCCGAATGCCTGCCAAGACCGTTTTCACTCCCATAAAGCAAAAGAGGACTTATCTTCAGTCCATTCCAGGAGCAACAAATTATCCACGAGACAAGGGTTTAGTCAATGTTCAGTCCAAAATATATCCAAGCCGAATTTCAGAGATCACGATGTGACTTTCAGGGTTTAACTTTGTCCGTCACAAAGCCTGAAGAGCAATCCCACCCACTTTTATTCCTGGTGAGGCATGGCTCCGTGTCTCAGCTCAATCTCTGGCCCTCCCACACCTCTTCCGTTGCTGCGCACGCTTCTCCCTCCGACGCTGCTTGGGATCAAACCAGGATTCATCATCCTCGCTCCCTATCAATTGGTGCTCCTATATGCCTTCCTCCTGGCACATCCCAGGCTATTTCTCCTGGCCTTCGGATGGAACCTGAGGCATTGCCAGAAAGGAGGGTCCTGGAGAGGGAGGCCTTGTCAGTTCCTCCCCAACACCTTCTGAGTCCTCTTCCTCTGTTAGGACAGGCTCGGGAGTCGGGGTCACAACAACTCCAATCAAGAAATTGCCAAAAAGCCATCAATAAACAGCCCAACCAAAGAATTTCTAAGACACCCCTAACCAAATAGACAGACAAGTCACCAGAATATAAATTGTCAGAAACAGCACTCCTTACTAGCCCTGATGATGTTACAGGTTAGGGTAATGAAACGTCTGCAGGAAAACAAGCAAACTCAGAGAGCACCAAGGACCTCATTTCAACCCTGAGCTACAAATATTCTCCTTTCTTGGTATTAACAGAATCGAATAACTTTCAAAACTAATCTTAAATACAAGATACAACACTACTTTTTTTCCAAAAATAAAAGCACACCTTCATCTTTAGCCTTTCGTTGTCTTTGTTCACCCATAATAATTCTTTTTCTATTACTTCTATCTTTTTTAAGGTCTCCTCGTTACTGGAAGACAGAGTCTCTTCATCAGGGACCAGTCCAGATTCTGTAAAATGCAGCTAAAATGAAGAAAAGAAATAAGGATGAATCAGCTGTCCCTGTTTCTGCCATTTCTCTCTTTGTGTCCCCCTTTTTTTTTTTGACTCTGCTTGCCTTTTACTAAATTGATTTCTACAATTTGCTGCAAGTGACAGATATAGTTTATTATTTATTCAAATTCTCTAAAATCTTAATAGAACTGCACAATACTGAAATTTAATAAGGAGTATATTCTTTTGTGTGCATGGTTAACAAAACTTGCTGTAAAAATGTAGCCAAAGTGCATGCAGGCGATAATATATATTTTTTTTATTAATGGAAGTATAGTTCATCCATAATATACCCATGCCAAACTGAAAACAACATGAGGTCTTTCAGAGCCTTTATTTCCCTCATTTGATTTCCCAGGGTGGAAAAACAAACAGGATTATTTTACTAAGAGATCCTCATTTGAAATATAATTTGTCACTAGAATATCTAGCAGTTCCAAAGTTTCCTTTTGATTATGTATTGACAGCCCTATCATCCACGATTAACATCCTCTAATATTATTTCTTTATAATATCAAACATTTTTTCCCCCCACCTAAGTTGTCTTGAATTCTATTCAATAGCTAAATAGGAGGCAGAAGCATTATGCATGCAACCTCTACAATAAAACTATGGTATAAATCTAATAAATAAACTATAATGTGTCAGATTTATTGTGCTTCCCCTAAAGCCGTGATGGCGAACCTATGGCATGCATGCCACAGGTGGCACGCATAGCTACATCCGTGGGCACGTGAGTCCAGCTTCGGCGTGCATGCGCACACCGGCCAGCTAATTTTCAGGCCTTCTGGCACCACTAGAAGTAGGGAAACACACTGTTTCCTGCCTCCAGAGGGCCTCAGGGGGTAGTGGGGAAGGCCTGTTTTTCTCTCTCCCCAGCCTCCAGTGCCATTCTAGGAGTCTGGGGAGGGCTAAAATGGCCTTCCCCACCCCACCCCCCGGAGGCCCTCCGGAGGCCAGAAACAGCCCATTTGCCAACTTCTGGTGGGACAACTGAATGGAGCTGAGTGTTTACTGGCCCAGATGCCCTACCTGTCACCAATTTGGAGATTGTTTCAGCAGATATATCCGCCTTGTGCCCAGAGAGAGAAATATCTGCCTCTACCTAGGATCGAACTCACAGTGTCCTGATTGTGAGGCAAGAGTTCACAATCTCTAGGACACCACACCTCTAGGTTAAAAAACACAGTGATCTTCATAAATAAAGTCATGTAAAACCATCTTCATTTTCTCACCTAAAATCATTGTAAATAACTTATAACTATTATTCAGTAGTGATATTGGGCAATAATTTGTTAGGAGGTCAAATCTTGAATTTGTGTATTATGTATTGGCCTCTACCCAATGTCTGGTATCATATGTTCATCATCATATGTTGCAGTGATTGTGGTAATTCATCTTCAAAATGTTTATAATAAAAAGCTGGTGATCCATTTGCTCCAGGCTCTTTCTCTATAGTAGCCTGATGTTACTACTGGCCAATAGTGAATAAACAAATCAGGATATATGAAATATATAATCAATATAATCATTATATGTAAAACAAAATGGAGTATGTATTGTTTCTAAAATGCTTAGCATAAAATGCATGTAACCAGAAAAACTATAAGCTGCTTTTAAAAACATATAACAGGTAATAAGCTAAATGTCAAACCAGCTGTAACCGCAAGCAGGGAACAAGAGGGGCAATAAAAGTTTAAGTAGGTTAAAACTGTGAAGAAACAGGCAAAGGGAACGAGGGAAATAGACTGAGCGCTTCAAAAGGATGCAATGCTGAAAAACAAAAAGCAAAGGGGTGCTTTTGGGAGCTATAAGGGAGAGAAATAAGCTGCATGTTTTAAACAGGAAAAGGGGAGGGGGTGGAAATGTGTCTGTGAAAAGAGATAAAAAGCTGATGTATGCCTTGTTCTGTGTTCACCTTTGCAGGGCCCATATTTGCAAATACGTCAATAAAATTCTTTGCTACTTTCAAGTTATTGAAAGTAGCAAAGTTGACTGTTTATCACAGTCTTGGGGGCTCGTCCGGGATAAAAATAACACTAGGATCCAAGGAGGCATCAGGATCAAGTAAGAAAGGCATGTCCCGTTGAGTTCAGCAGTCCTCCAGAACTCTGGGGCCTCCATTTCCTTCGCCCGTGGTATCCCGTGAGTGACAGAGATGACGCAAGCGGCAAAGACAATAAATTCTCTAAGAGATGGACACCCAGATGATCCTATAACTCAACTAGGAAGCTAACTTAGTCAATGACTAGACTGTTCTGCTCATAATCCTGCCACCACAGTCAACCCATTGGCTAATATGTCTTTCTTAAAGGTGAAGTGGTGGAGTAGGCTGCATATTTGCTATCATTTCCTTAGGTTTCACCCATAACTCACTTCTGCCTGTTGCTCTGCTTTTAGGGCCTCAATTTTTCTTGGGCCCAATGTAGCTGCAAGTTCTGTGACATCTTTAGACTAGACCTGAGTGATTGGTAGACAGACATCACTGGAGAATAGATAGCATGAATTTTTGAGGTCAAATGTTTCACCTGTACTTTCACCCATGAACTGAATCCAGGAGAATTTAAACTTCTAGCAAAAATGTTTTTCCCCCCCACTTCTCAACCCATGCAGTAAAATATCATGTTCTATTTGCTCAGCTCCCCAGGGTTTTATTTTTTGAAAGCATTGGCACAACAGACCTGATAAATAACAGCCCCAATTCCCTTAGGGCAATCTTCTCTGCCTACTAGATTAATTAGTACTTGGAAGAATGCATCAGGCTGCAAACTCATTCTGACAAGCTTTGCAGAACAGGGAAATTAGGCATATAAAAAGCCAAAAATGCCTTAACATGCTTTATGAATTCACAAGAGCCTGTAACTTTTGCTTAAGGAGCACCGGGGTTATAGGACAAATTGTCAATATTGCTATTTTGCTAGCGAGACAAAATGCACAGCACACGAGTTATGGAGTACCGGAGTCCCCTTTAGAAACTTTTCCTTAAAATGTACAGGGGCAGGTTGAGTTTGGTAAAAATTGGAGAGAATCAAGAAGTGGGCATTAATCAGCAAATCTCCATGCAGAAGGGCAAGTTTCTGGGTGTTATCATAAAAGAGGACCTGACCTGGAGCGCTTACATTGCAGCATTGGTCAAAAGGGCCCAGCAGAGATTATACTACCTGAGACTTCTCAGGAAGCAACAACTGAATGAAAAACTGTTGGTGACCTTCTACCGCTGCACTATAGAGAGTATCTTAACTTACTGCTCAATGTGCCAATTGCACAGTAGCAGATAGGACAGCACTCCAGAGGGTTAACGTCATTGCCCAGAGGATCATTGGTTGCCCTCTCCCCTCCTTGGAAGAGCTTTATAACTCCCGCTGCCTTAAGAAAGTTCAAAACGTTCTTAAAGATCCATCTCATCCTGGGCACCCTTTTTTTAAACTAATGCCATCTGGCAGACAGTACAGGATAATAAAAACAAGGACAAATAGGCTGAAAAACAGCTCCTATCCCAGAGCAGTAATTATATTGAATTTGACTGTATAGTGCAATATTAATGCAATATCGGGTTTTTAGTTCAATTGTATAGAATGTGAAGGATGTGTGTTTGTGTTTTATTTTTATAGTTATAATGTATACTGAAGATGGCATTTAATTTCATTGTACAAGGTGCAATGACAATAAAGTAGAGTAAAGTAAAGTAGCCACGGTACTGCATTATCAAGAGTCAGCTTGGTGCAGTTGGTAACACAACTGGGCTAGAAAATCAGAGATTCTGCATTCTGCAAAAGGCATGAAACCAGATAGGCGGACCCTGGACCAGTCCTTCTGTTTCAGCTCTAGGAAGAAGGAAACAGCAAGCAATTTTTGCAAATCTTGCAAAGAAAACTACAGGAACTAGTCCAGACAATACCCAGGAGTTAATGCTGAAAATGTTGTTGTTCTTATTTACATATAGTCTACCAGATGGTTCTGACTAGATTTAGTACTTTTGATCATTGGATCCTTCCCAAGTGTCTATGTAGATACTCCATCATTAGGGTCATGATTGTCCCAAATGTGTTCTTTCCAAAAGGCAACTGGACTTTCTTGGGTTATTGCTTCTCATCCAGGAATCTTCTTCAGAACTTTGGAAAAAGCATCTTTGGGACAATCCTTCCTAACCATCTAGAACAGCTAAAATTATTATTGAAATATTCTGCCATTCCAAGTGATGTGAATTTTGAAACTGATGCATGGAGATTCTGTCCATTCTATCATATGCCAAGTAGTTTTCCAGATCCTTTGGTATGGCTTCAAGCACACAAACCATTACTGGTAGATTTTATGGCCATTCATTCAGCAACTATTCAAAATTATTATAGTGCTGAACAAAGGGACTTATGAGCTGCACCCAAAGTTATGGCCAATGCGGCAACCCTGCAATGATGTGACTCAAAATTTCTGCTACTGTTTCTCTAGAACCTGTCAGAACCTGCTGAAAAGCACCCCTGACTGAGTGGCTATCACAAGTCTGAAGGTCATCCATGCTATTGTGCAGAACATATCTATCTTATTGGTCTGTACGACACAGAAAATCTTTCATACCTTTGAATCCAGCGAGCCATTTTCAATGCTATGGTTGAATTCCTTTTTAAATAACAGAGGCTGAACTTTTGCTAGCGTGGAACGAATCTGCAGGGGGGAAAAAAAACAACCTGAAATGTTTATGGTTTTTACGAGGAAAATGTCTGATGTAAAGATAGCCACCAAGAAGCTGTTTTAATGTTTATAAATAATGTAATACCAATCAAGAATATGGGTAGACCTCGACTTGCAACAGTTCATTTAGTGACTGTTCAAAGTTACAATGCCACTGAAAAATGTGACTTATGACCATTTTTCACACTTAAGATCTTTGTAGCAGTGGTGAAATTTTAAAAAAATCCCCTACCAGTTCTGTGGGTATGGTTTGTTGGGGGGAGGTCATGTGACTGGGTGGGCATGGCCAACTCGACATCACTCACATCGAGGGGCTCCTCACCGGCCCCTCCCCTCCCAGCCACTCCTTGTCGCAAATGGCAGGAAAATGGGAAGGGGAATATTCCTGCCTACCATCCTTCCCTCAGTCTGTGCTGAGATTGAGGAATGGATGACAGGCAGGAAAATCCCCTTCCCCAAAAACGGCTCCATTCCAGCTGCTGCCCCCATCCCCCTCCCTCCTGGGGACTACTTTAAAAGGGACAGGCTGCAGCAGCTCCATTGTGAATGGAGGGAGAAAAGTTAGCATTCTCTCTGCTGCATTTAACCATTGGATTCTGTGGCAGAGAGAATGCTAACTTTTCTCCCTCCATTCAGAACGGAGCAACTGCTCCCTTTATGGTTCCCTCCCGGCCCCGTCCCTCCTGGGGACTACCTTAAAGGGACAGGCTGCAGCAGCTCAATTCTGAATGGAGGGAGAAAAGTTAGCATTCTCTCTGCTACATTTAACATTGAATTCTGTGGAATATTGAGTGGCCAGAAGAGGTGAGCAATGACCGGCCAGGCGTGGGGTGATTACTACCAGTTTGGTGAACTGATGCCAATAATCCCTAGCGGTTTACCCAAACCAGTCCAAACCGGTAGGATTTCACCTCTGTTTTGTAGCAACCCCATGCGCATGTGATCAAATTTCAGATGCTTGGCGACTAGTTCATACTTATGACCGTTGCTGTGTCCCAGGGTCATGTGATCCCCTTTTGTGACCACCTGACAAGCAAAGTCAATGGAGAAATCAGATTCACTTAACAACTGTGCTACTAACTTATTGAGTGCAGTGATTCACTTAATAGCTATGGCAAGAAAATGGGACAAAACTCACTTAACAACTGTCTCACTTAAAAACAGAAATTTTGGGCTAAATTGTGATTGTAAGTCGAAGACTACCTGTAACGTATTTTAAATATTATAACAATTGTAAAGTCTCTCAATATTTACTGATAGTTTATTTTCCATATACTTTTGCCCTCTTTCCTCTTCTTTTTCCCTTTCCGGGGCCATTCATTTTATTCTTTAAATTTTTTTAAATTAAAATTAAACTAACAGAACTGAAAAGTCTCAATCCTTTGCTCACAGCAGGAACCCAAATTTAAACTCCATGACAAATCACTATCTAGACTCTGTTTGAAGACATGCATTAATAACCTCTTCTAGAAAACTGCCCCACTGTCCATTGTCCATTATTTTTTTTTTCTAATATTCAACCAGGATCTGTCTTCCTGTAACTTCAAATAATTATTTTGTATTCTGCATTGTGGACAATGAAGGAGAAGATTGTATTTCCCCCACTCAGTTATTAATTCTCAAGGCTAAACATACCCAACAAACTTCTTGCTGGTAGGACTATTTTCAGACTTCTAATATTCTTGATCTAGACATAATATTGTTGTTATTTGCGAAGTCATGTCCGACTCATTGCGACCCCATGGACAACGTTCCTCCAGGCCTTCCTGTCCTCTACCATCTCCCGGAGTCCATTTAAGCTCACGCCGACTGCTTCAGTGACTCCATCCAGCCACCTCGTTCTCTGTCGTTCCCTTCTTCTTTTGCCCTCCATCGTTCCCAGCATTAGGCTCTTCTCAAGTGAGTCCTTCCTTCTCATTAAGTGGCCGAAGTATTTGAGTTTCATCTTCAGGATCTGGCCTTCTAAAGAGCAGTCAGGGTTGATCTCTTCTAGGACTGACCGGTTTGATCGCCTTGCAGTCCAAGGGAGATGCAAGGCGATCAAACATAGTATGCAAATCAATATATGTGTGTGGCTATCATTAATTATCTTTGCTAAAGTACTGTTCTGGGTAAAACACATGAGTAAGTGAGTTTTGTGTGTATATGGGGGCACACACTCAGTTCGCATGTTTTATCCACAATAGTGCTTTATCACTGCCATTTAAAAGGATCTTAAATAACTTAAGGCAACATTCCTTGAGATCTTGGACTGTCCATCCCAGACATTTAGTTGAACAGCATAGACCAGTGGATCTGGTTTTGTTACGTGTTCATAAAAAAATCCGTACCTTTTTAATATATTCTGTTTCTTCAATAATCTCAGACAAGGTAGATCCACAAAAGAGGAAATGATCTGCTCTCTCTGTGTTCTCTCTCAGATGATGTGTCACCACTAAGGCAGTAGACATTATCCAAGTTTGGAGATAATCTGCATCAAAAGACCACAGATGAATACCAAAATAAATATTAAAAAAATAGGTGTGAAACACCATCATAAGTCACCTTTTCAGAGCTGTTGTAACTTAGAACAGTCATTAAACAAACTGCTGTAAGTCAAGTACTACTTGTACATTCTGAATTAGTAAAGAAAAGTACTTTCCCAGTTGAATTCCCAAGTCCTTGAGTTGATTTATCTTATAAAATGTTTAGGAAAGGAAAGGAAAGGAAAGGAAAGGAAAGGAAAGGAAAGGAAAAGGAAAGGAAAGGAAAGGAAAAGGAGGAAAGGAAAGGAAAGGAAAGGAAAGGAAAGGAAAGGAAAGAAAGGAAATAGAAACAGAAACAGAAACAGAAAGAAAAAGAATAGAATAGAATAGAATAGAATAGAATAGAATAGAATAGAATAGAATAGAATAGAATAGAATAGAATAGAATTCTTGTATACAGGAAGTAACAGGCTTCCAGATAGAATATACAACAGAATTGTTTCTTCTAGGAATAATGAAAAAGAAATATGAAAAAATGACAACATATATTATTCTACACATGACAACGGCGGCAAGATTGGCATTTGCGCAATGTTGGAGAAGTTTGAACACACCCTCCGAAGATCTAATAATTAGAAAGCTATTAGATTGCGCTGAGATGGATAAAACACCATTGGAACTGAAAGGACAAATGGATTCTCCCATATTTTACGTAATATGGGAGAAATTGTATAATTGGATTGAAGATAGAAAAAAAGGGAAATAAGAGATAGTAGATTTTGTAAAATTATATAGAGTATAGGAGAATATAATGTGGTGATATGTAAATAGTCACAGTCATGCACAAGAGTTGAATAAAAATTGTTTGTTAAAACCCAATAAAACTCAAATGGAATTTAAAAAGAATAGAATAGAATTCTTTATTGGCCAAATGTGATTGGACACACAAGGAATTTGTTTTGGTGCATATGGTCTCAGTGCATATAAAGAAAAGAAAAGATACATTTGTCAAGAATCATAAGGTACAACACTTAATGATAGTCATAGGGTACAAACAAGCACTCAAATCATACTAGGAAACAATCAATATAAATCGTAAGGATACAAGCAACAAAGTTACAGTCATGCAGTCATAAGTGGGAGTAGATGGGTGATAGGAACGATGAGAAGACTAATAGTAATAGTAATGCAGGCTTAGTGAATAGTTTGACAGTGTTGAGGGAATTATTTGTTTATCAGAGTGATGGCGTCCAGGGAAAAACCGTTCTTGTTGCTATAGAGTACTGCACACCAAAACAACTGCATGACTGTAACTTTGTTGCTTGTATCCTTATGATTTATATTGATTGTTTCCATGTATTTTATACAACTCTGTCCTTCAACCAAAGCAAATGATTCACCAATACTTCCGTTCTTCCCAGAGGTGGATGGATGATACATGCTCTTGAATACCAGCTCCTAATTCCATGGTCAGCAATATGGCAGGAAGGTTAGAATAGCTCAGAGACATCTGGAAGGTCATATATTGTTCACTCCTACCTTCAATATATGACCTTCCAGATGTCTCTGAGCTGTTCTAACCTTCCTGCCACATTGCTGACCATGGAATTAGGAGCTGGTATTCAAGAGCATGTATCATCCATCCACCTCTGGCTTAGGATCATGATAGACCTAAAATAATAACCTCTTCCTTTTGTCTTCCGGTTGTTTTTCAGAGTTAAATAAAAGTATCCTCTTCAGTTTATTAACTTGGATGGCCAGTCCTACTATTAAGCTGAACGAGATGACTAACTGAAGAGGTCAAACCTGGGAAGAATGGAAGTATTGGTGAACCATTTGCTTTTGTTGAAGGACAGAGTTGTCTAAAATACATGGCCTGTCCGAAGCATCCTATCAGATTGAGCTGCCAATCTAGTCAGCTACAGATGCTGACCAGAGAAAGGTCCGAGCAGAACTTGCACCGGTCATCTGGCATCATATTCTGAATTAGAACAACAAACACACACACTGGCAACTGGACTGAAATATAAGCTATCCTAAGATTCAGTTCATGATATACCGTGTTTCCCCGAAAATAAGACCCTTTCTTGTATTTTTTTGAACCCGGAAATAAGCATGTGGCCTTATTTTTGGGGAGGTCTTATTATTTTGAGGCACGTGAAGTGAGATGGGGATCCTCTTGCCATCTTACCTGATTTCCAGCTCTGTCTCCATAACCCTAACCAGAGGAAATGGGGGGACTGGCTGTGCATGCAGTTAAATATTTTTGGGGAGGTCTTATTTTCGGGGAGAGCTTATTTTCAGGGGAGGTCTTATTTTCGGGAAAACATAGTAGAACCATCTTTATCGTAAAACCCAGTTGAAGTGAACTCAGCAAGGGTCTCGCTAGCTATTATACAATCTAGGGCCGTGATGGCGAACCTATGGCACGCGTGCCACAGGTGGCACACAGAGCCATATCTGTGGGCACATGAGCTTTGCCCTAGCTCAGTTCCAGCATGTGTGCGCATGCCAGCCAGCTGATTTTTGGGCCTTCTGGGCCCACCGGAAGTCGGGAAACTGGCCATTTCTGGCCTACGGAGGGTCTCTGGGGTGTGCGGGAGGCTGTTTTCACCCTCCCCAGGCTCCAGAGGCTTTCTTGGAGCCTGGGGAGGGCGAAAATGGGCCTACCGGGCCCACCAGCAACCTTTATGCCATTACGTGCCAAAAGCGGGGGAGTGCATGCATGCACAGGGGGCGGGGCACTGGGGGCATTAAATAATGGGTGTGGGCACGCACACATACGCGATCCCCCTGCGCTCCCCCATTTTTGGCACGCGACGGCAAAAAGGTTAGCCATCACTGATCTAGGGGAACAGAGAGCAATTTATTTGGCCAATGCATCACAAAACAACACAGATGTGGAATATGATTGTGTCACAAAAATTTGCATAGCCTTCAGCTTCCAGCATTTAAACGCACATTTTAAAGACAATGTTAGATATGGTCTGATAACTAAATCAATAGAATTTCTGTTCTGTTCTAAAAACAATATTATTAAACATTTATCTTTAAAATACAAAAGTGTCATTTATAAATGGAACTAATATCAGCAATGTTTTCTGATACCCAGATTGAACATTCCTACGGTAGTAAATGTTTCCTTATATATATATATATATTAAAATACTTCAATGCAAATTGCTATTATTTAATGTAGTAGCCCAGTTATCTGTGATCATTTAATCTGGGGACGCTCAGGTTTTTTGGATACCAGTAATGCGATCTAATGTTGGATGAAACATGCAATTTGCTTGGCTACAATCCTGAGCAAGTGTTCAGAGGCCACGTGGAGATAAACTCGGCCACGTGTGGGCTAGATCCCTTCCTCACTTAGTTTGTAGTGCTGTTGCGGTGGGTATAAGGTTGCAGACTGGTGCAGGCTGGATTGTGAATATGTCATTGAGGGAGGGAAAATGAAATCGAAAGAAAAATCAAATGTACCGCTGCAGAGTAGGTGAAACCTAGCTCAATGGCAGTACGTGTGAGAGCGATCTTGGAGTCCTAGTGGACAACCACTTAAATACGAGCCAGCAATGTGTGGCAACAGCCAAAAAAAAACCAACGCAATCCTAGGTTGCATTAACAGAGGGATAGAATCAAGATGTGAAGTATTAGTACCATTTTATAACATTTTAGTAAAACCACATTTAGAATACTGCATCCAGTTTTGGTCACCATACTATAAAAAAGATGCAGAGACTCTGGAAAGAGTGCAGAAAAGAGCAACAAAAATGATTAGGGGGCTGGAGGCTAAAACATATAAAGAATGGTTGCAGGAACCTGGTATGTCTAGTTTAATGAAAAGAAGGACTAGGGGTGACATGATAGTATTCCAATATTTGAAGGGCTGCCACAAAGAAGAGAGGGTCACCCTATTTTCCAAAGCACTGGAAGGCAAGACAAAAAAACAAACAAACAGTGGATGGAAACTAATCAAAGAGAGAAGCAATCTAAAACTAAGGAGAAATTCCCTAACAGTAAGAACAATTAACCAACGGAATGACTTGCCTTCAGAAGTTTTGGGTGCTCCATCACTGGAGGCTTTTAAGAAGAGATTAGATAACCACTTGTCTGGAATGGTATGCAGGGGTGGGTTCTACTTACCATTATCGTGCCAGCGCGCGCACTCTTCTGCGCATGCGCAGATCACCTATGATGACATCCGGGTCAGTGGGCGGAGCCTCCCGCCAGTTTTACTACTGGTTCTTGTGAACCGGCCCGAACTGGGGGCAACCCACCACTGATGGTATGTGGTTTCCTGCTTGAGCAGGAGGTTGGACTAGAAGACCTCCAAGATCCCTTCCAACTCTATTATTCTGTTATTCTGATATTCATGCAATTATTGAACACTCATCTTTTTTAAAAAAAGCATTTGCAAATTAAGAGTTACCTTGTAACGAGATGGGCAGCAAACAAATTTAAAAAAATAAAGGAGAGTTATTGAAGAGTTATGATAACTTGACATTGAATTGATAGATGGAATAGTATTGTTATTGTATTGCTATTACTATTAGTTTTTGGCTATTACTATTAGTTTTTGGCTCATATACCGTTAGAGTCAAATGATTGAAGTGTGTTGATTGACTCCCCAGGAAGCATTTTGGTAATTCAACTCCTCAGAATCATTTCATCCACAGGCGAATACTAGTCTCCTCACTTCCATTTTCCAGAAAATTGAATTATGATGGTTGATATAAAATTATTTATTATCAAGTTTATACTTTGGTTTGGAGTTTGTAAAAATACTCAACATTTTAAAAAACTAAAAAAATATTGAAACGATAAAACCACTGTACTTAAAATAAAAAATAAAATAAAATATTGTTAATATAGTTAACCTTGGGCCAAAACAATGCATTTCTGCTTTTCCTAAAACCTGGGAAATGAAAAACAACTTGAAGCTTGCAACAGCCATCACTTATTTTGTCCCTGATTGTCAGGTCTGTGTTTATTTAATCCAGGA